TATGAGAGAAAGCATACGCACATATTAAGGCTAAATATTATTAGGAATGGCATATATCAGTCTGTATGACCAGGTACTCCGTAAAAATGTACTAAGAAGAAAGTGTGGGGGAAATTTGGTTCCCACGAAGGTAAACCACTACAAAAGCGCCGACACTCGTGAAAAAACACACCTAGTTTTTTTAAGGATTAAATTAAATGAAAAGGCTCAATGGAAAGAAAGAGAGAAAGAGAGTAAAAGAGAAAGAGAAAAAAATATACAAGATAGCGGCATAGATTTTACAATTTTCCTAATTTATTTATAAAATGTCGAACCTGTCAAGAATAAATTAAAAACAATTAACGGAAGAAAATCCTTTTAAATAATAATCTTCTCTATTACTTTTATATGCCAGTCTATCCCTATGAAATGAATAAAACTATTCACACTTCTAACAGGAATTCCAACATTATGTATTGAAATATAAAAGTGCTGATAATATACAACTGTCTACGCATTATTTCCAGTAGAAATTCTTCATAGATCCCTGCTTCCATCAACGTCGTAGTGTGTGACCAAGCGGTAAAAAAATACATATATAGTCCTCCTCTTAAACTTTACAACGACTTTTTACATTTGTTTGTAATCGAAATTTTAGCCAGGGTTAGTTGCATTTATCATTGACCTAAATAGAAAGACCTTGCTCGTAAATGGTTTTTATTAGGGTTAAGTCTGGCAATGAGAAAGGGAAGAAGTAAAAAGAAGGTGGGGAGTCTGACGAGGATAGGGAGAAGGTATCGAGTCGATAGTGTTAATAATAATAATAATAGCAATATAATAATAATCAAAAGTAAAAGGTAGTAATCTATTGCATCTATACATGTTTATTATTATTAAAAAGGAAGAGAAGGTGGGATAAACGTCTTAGCCCATAGATCACAGAGATTTTTCTTTAACGACAATACGTTGAATGCGTTTTAAACAAGAAATAGAACAATAATAAAAAATCCATAAAAAGGGTAAAAATAAAAAACAAGAAAACAAGTTTTGCTTTACGTCGAATAGGAGTAAAGTTCAACAATGACGAATCGTCCTCGTCAACCAGCATCCCTTCAATCATCGAACGCGTTCGACCTGCAAACAATACAAATTCTTGAACAGGTGGCGAATAATTCAAACAACGAGATGGGCGATGACACGCTCGTTTATTTAGTGTCAACTATAAACTATGAACAAAAAAATTCACAGCCTCGGGGGTAGTCAATGTTACGCGTCACGTGACCCATTCATACTTACTAATTGGCGTTCTTTGCAGTCTGCATCGTTGTTAGTTTGGCACGTTGTTTGTCTGCTTTGTAAGTAGGGAGGTAGAGAATTCGGTATTTTCATTTGTAATTGTTCAACGAATTTTTGAGCGTCAACTTGTCCGTTTGTCGTAGTGAATTTCTCTGTTAATAAAAACATATCCAATTAAATCAAACAGTTTTAATTAATTTTTACAGAAAAGTTTTAAACTGTCGGATTAATGGTAACTATTAGTCGCTTTCTTTTCATCTACCTTTCTTCTATCCACCTGTTCAATCAGTTTTCCACTAGGCCTATTAAGGTATGCGAAAAATTCGTAGGCCACCTACGACAGCCAGGTGTGGAAAGGTTTTGTATCATGACTCCTTATTTACATATGCATGAGGGACAGTTTCCCGTGGGAAGAAAGATTGAATAGGTTTAAGGTTATCTTTCAAGTAGCCATTGAACACTTAAAATTTGCTAGATTTTATTGTTGATAGAGGAAGTAAATGATAGCGTCTGCTGGTACGTGGGAAACGTAAAAGTGATAATTTTTTATAAAAAGTAATTGATGAGATGCAGTGTATATCATAATAAAAGTCATTCTTTAAATATAAATCATATCTATATTAAAAAATTTGCATATTTCTAGGCGATTAAAATAATTTATGTGTAAATATACACTTCCGGAACATCTATAAAAATTCCTTTAGCGTATCCTTTATTCCCTTTACTATATAACCTTTTTTTGCTTATTCAAGCTTTAACTTCCTAATACTATTTAAATAAGATTGCTACTTTGTTATCTTTAGTTCGTTATTGCTATCTTTAGTTTTCTCTTCCTTTTCCTCTTATTTGGCCTCTCATATCCATGATTTATCGCCCCTCTTCAAACAATTCAAAAGTGTCAAATTAGGGCAGTTGTACCCTCTTGGTTACGTAAGCTAGTTCATGTATAATTAGAAAGTATTACGTAATGTGAACAAAGGCTTTTACGCAAGACCACTACAGACTGTATGGTCCTTTCTACCTAAAATAGCACTCGACCCCTTATTCTTTTATTAATACACCGCATTGGTCTCTTCCCGTCCAACAAAGCAACGCAAGAGGTCAAGGGGAATATGTTAATTAGGGTCAAACGGGCTTCGAAGCTCAAGGGAGGAGTTTCAATGACAAATTACTTTTGTGGGAAATATTCCAGCAAAAAAAAGATTTTGATAAATATTTAAATTATTCGGAATAAGATAAGCCGGTATTGTTTTTCCTTGTTAGGTATGGTCTTGTTTACGGTTGGTTTTATATGTAAATCATGTAAACCAACGCCACCATTAGGGACGAACGAAATGGAACGGAGAAAATAACTCACCATTCGGTAATCCTAAACGTTCGGCTAGTTGATAATGAAGTTGATCTATGTATTTTATAGCCTCCTCTATTAATTCTATCTGTAAAGAGAAGAGAGAGAGTGAAAGTAAGAAACAACATTTAATATCAAATAAAAGATGAATAAAGGAAGAAAAAGAAGAAATGAAATGGGTGGAGTCGGAGCAGAAGTAATGTAAAGAAAGTACATACCTTGTCGACTTTAGGTACATTCCTCACCGATGGAACGATAGACTTAAGTCGTTTATATTCTTTGTTCGGCTTTTTCCGATACTTCCTTTTAATCTTTTTACAAATTTCACCGACAACCATTCGATATATCTGAAAAATTCGACGAAAAATTTAATAGAAAGAACAAGAAACTCTCTTCTCATTTTGATAATTATAGGTTTAAAATACGGTAGAGAGATTCCTTAAATGGCACATTGCTTGATTTGTCCCGAAAAGACACCAATCAGAATTTCTACAATAGTTAATGCCATAGTTGCACGGTAGCCCCTTCAGGGCCGTTCAAAATGACGCTCTTTATTCGACCACCTGCAGTCGTAAATTTTTATAGGCCTTCCTTTGAAGAATGCAAGAGAAAAAGGGTGGTTGGAAGCGGTTTTGAATTTCCATCGGTTAGGATTTCGTTTGGCCTATCAGAGCGTAGGATAAGTGACTTATTTTTTTTTCATTTTTGAATTTCTAACCGTCGATATTTTAAAAATATTTCAGTATCTTAATTGAAGTTTTATCGAATGATATTGTCTATCTTATATTTAATAATAATCATTCATCCGCAATAATTAGCTATGACTGCAATATATGTGGTCTTTTTCTATTTTCGATATTACTCTCTTCCATTGTCCCCTTTTCCTATCTTTCTATTTCTCTTTGCCACTCTCTCTGTCTTATTCTATTGCACACATTCGCATACGTGTACTTTCTCTCTTTCTTACTCAATAATTAATTAAAAACATTTCGCTTATACCTTTTTTGGTCGGGGAGCCGTCATCTCTGTTATAATTCTTTAACTTGCTTCAAAGTAAAGACGCCAAATGTTGGTGAGAAAGTTTGTCTTGTTGAAGATATCTTCCGTTTGTTCAATTGTTCAAATGTCAGATGAGCCTGTAACCGTAAACTTTCTTTTCTAAATATTTCTCTCTGTTTACAACCGAATTTGTAACGATCTGCTTGAACGTCCAAGGAATTTTGATCTACTTGCCAAAGATTCGACTCGGTACCTATTGGCTATTGACAAGGTCACGTGATTGAACAATGGGACAATACGTTAGCGCCATATAGTGGAAATTTTGTTAGTGATCCGGAAGCGTCGCGACGATATTTATAATTAGAAAGTAGCTTTCGGCAAAGGAATTTTGAACGAGTGAAGAAAGAGTATAAGGGCTTAATTACACGGCTGTTTAAGAGCGTTCAAACTGTTTTATTCAATTTTAATTGCTTCAAAGTATATAGAAATTTCAACGAAGCGATGTCTCCTCGGTTCGCTTCCTTAACACATTCCTTTTCGATAAAAACGTGTATATATTATACGAACAATTGAGAAGAGTGGATAATATAAATGGAGGAGATATAATTTATCTATTAAATGTATTCTTATAGATTCTTTATATGTATTTTGGCCATAGAATTTCACTCTTTTCTCTATCTCCGCCCCCACAATTCCTGTGTATAGTAAAATCCTTCAATCTAAGTCCTAATCTCAACGCACTCGCCTATATCCTCCTAATCAGGATCAAATCATCAATTGCCTAACAATAGCTCCAACTATGGTAAATGAAAATGGTGTATAGAAAGTTGTATAAATGTTCAGTGTTTTGGCGCAACATGTACGTACGCATACACGTATGCCAAACGCAACGTTATATAGATTTTTTGTGCCGTGCCTTGATGAAAAAAAGGTAGGGAAATTGATAGAAATTCCATATTGATTACGTATATTTTTTCAATATTGTTTCGGGGATGGAACAGATGATTATTGATAAAGTTTAATGGGAATTAGATTATTGTTTGCGAGTTTATTGTACATTCATTGAGGCTATTGCATGTAATGAGTAGTAGTTACCCATTGGCATTCCTTCAGCGTTGTTTCGCTCTGAATAAACCTATACGTAGAGTATACAATTTCTAATATACGAATAAACACAGACGATTGTTTAAGAGAAGAAATTTCTCTCTATATTTACATATATAATACATTTTTCCCTATATACCTAATACTGTATAATATGGGCAAAGATTTCACAGAACTAGGTGTCACCCTCGACTCATTCATTCAATCTGATTTGGTTCGCTATCCCAGGCTAATTTTTAGCCATCTGTCAACTCAATGAATGTCGAACCATACTATTTCTATTTTCCCCGCTTAAAGCGCCATAACCGCCGACGCGCCATTTTGAAGGGGAAAATAATATTATCATCGTAACGGAAGCCTTTAAACATGGTTTCCTATAGGATTTTTATAGTTTTAGCAGTAATTTTAAAAGATTCAGGTAAGAATCTGACGAATTTTTTCATATGTTTTAAATAGGAATAAATCAATTTTAGAGGCAAAACAGTCATCTTTTCCTTCTGTTAACTATCGGTTTTTTGAATAGAATGTTTGAATTAATTCCATAAATATGATGTTTAATAGCGATAGTAGTTTCATTTTTATCATATTATTCAACATAATATAGTTTAGTTTAGTTGTGACACTGATTATGAAATGTTTATTGGAAAAAAACCTGTAAATAATACAAGGTGAGGTAAGAGAGCGACGTCTCTTAAACTCGATATCTTATTTATAAGGCGTCTTAATAAATTGACTAATTGTCTTTTGGAAAATGAATAAAACAAATGCGTTTTTAATCTATTTATATAATTGACTTTGTTTTTTCCCTAATTACTACTTTAGGCCTTAACGAAGCAGCATCTCTACTGCTGAATGAAAAGTCTACTCCATCTTCCGAGCTGAACGTTGGCGATGAAATAAATATATTCTGCGAAGCGAAAGGCGCCGATGCTAGTATTTCCATACGTAAACTGACTAGAGATAAAGAAGATATTCTTATGAAAGGTCAAGTAGGTCTGAAAAAGGATTGCCAACGTTTTAAAACCTCTTTTGAAGTATCTCAAGATGTTGCCTATTTCTCATTGCAAATAACTAATGCTCAACCGGAAGATAGTGGCAATTATTATTGTTCGTGGCAAAAAGGTGGCATTAAAACCGAATTTCGTAATTATACTGTACCTGGTAAATTGGTATCGGCTGAAATTGTTGAAAGAATCCAACTGCAGCAGGATAGTAATGCTACGTATAATACATTAACTGCTGTTAAAGTTAATGAAAGCGATCAGGGTATTAGTATTGGATGTCGTGTCTTTGCAGAGAAAACGCTAGTTATGCCATCCGTACGTATTTTCTCAGAAAATGAGGATGTGACTAGCTTTTTTATAGTAGATGATTCAAAAACTCAAGATGAAGCTTTTGAATGGTTTGAAACAAGCTGCGCTAGAACTGCCAATGTCTATGTAACATTGCTCAGACAGGTCACCAAGACTTTTCGTCATTTTCACGGTAAAGATTTACGATGTGTTGCCGAATTGGGAAAGAATAAACTAGAAGCTTCTGCCCAAGTTAATGTGATATATAAGCCCGTCTTAACGTGTGAGAGGAGCAGAGTGTCTCTGGAAGCTAATAAGATGGTTACATTCAATTGCACAGCAAGCGGAAATCCAAAACCGAAATTGTATTGGACAAGAGGAGTAGTTGGACAAGAAGAAATACTCGACGATACAGACGAGAAGAATGGATTAAAATCCGAACTAATCGTAAGTGAAATTTTTCTCATAGACTATTAATTGAATGATTAAATAGGCTATGCATTTAAAAGAGCTCTCCAAGAGAGAGAGAGAGAGAGAGATAGAGCAAAAAAAAAACACTTACTCCAGCTTAACCTCTAAATTACTTAAAAAAACCCTCCCCGTTAAAAAACCTGTTTCTAAACTTTAGATATTGTTGTTAATAAAAAAAAACAAAATCAATCGATTTCTATTTGAATTGTAATGCCATATGATGATGATATATAAATCGGTTAGCAATATATTCATCTTGAATAAAATATACCATGTAACATATTTAGCAATAAAAACCTCACGATATTGTAAGTTAGTTTTAGTAGGTTAAATTAACAATGGAGTAGAAAAAAAAAGTCCAACTTTTTAAAATAGAAAAGGATTTTTCATTTCTTTTTTTTTGTTAACACTTAAGTGTTGTGAACGAGAGAGAGAGAGAGAGAGAGAGAGTGAGACAGAGAATGTACGTGCGAGTGAGTGAAAAAAAAGGGGAGAATAATCACGGACAGTTATTGTATAATAAAGATTTATCGACTTGAACCAATCGACATAGTATAATATTTACTCGAATATTACTTTATACAAACTAGAAGTTTTAATTTTTTTTCACTTTTCGATTCTATAATTATTATTATCTATATTTTATTTATTTCTGTTTCTTTGAAAGAAGAAAACTGATAACTTGACATACTTTTTTTAAAACTAACCAATCGTATTATACTAATATGTTATTACTTGTTAATTATTAATTATTGTATAATAGTAATATTGTAGCGTGGGTTTATATGAATGTTTTATATTATTCATACAGGTCTAGTCTCATGTGAAATTTGTCTTGTCTATTCTATTTCCGTATTAGGCTTCGTAACAACAAAGAGTAACGATTTGATTAATAATTTCAACTTTAGTTGTTACCTCTTAATTAATTTATCGCGCTTGCAGAACTATCTTAACACTGTTAGCTGAGTAATGAATGTAATAGTTGCAAATGTTTTTTTACCAAGCACAAAACAATTAACGATTAGGGCAATTATAACTACATAAGCGTATGTATATACAGTTTGTAACTTTAGCAACAAACTATCTGCAAGTGCACAATCTCTTTCATATTTTGTGTGTGTGTGCGCATGTACATAAAATGGATTTAATTGATACTTTTATACTGTATATTCGTTTTTTTTTATCTGTTTCTCTCTCGCTCTCGTTTCATCTGTGCATGTGTGGGGATAAATATATATCTGTATATATTTATATGTATTTTTTTTCCCTCTCCCCAAGCTTTAAGCCTAAAAGCCTATTCCACTGCTGTTAAGATAATTGCTAATTGATCTTTTCTGAACAGCAGAATACACTATTGAGCAATTACCAGGCGTAGTTATTGATTATAGGTCTATCATTTAGATTAACCTTTCCACTCCAAGAGGCTAATATAATAATATTACTTTTTTTTTACTTTGCAGGCGTCTAATAGGTATTCCGTCCAGGGAACGTTGACTGCTAGAGTTACTCCTGAAAATGTTGCAAAAATCTTTTACGTTATGGCCAATAGCACAATAGGATATGCATCTAGAAGATTAGTTATCTCCGAAGGTTTGTCATTTTCTTCATTTACATTTTGAATTTTCCAAGTTTATTTAAAGGTGAAAATTTTCATTCCAACTGTTTTATTAACTCTTTTGCGCTTTTATCGCAATATCCGCTAGTCGAAAGAGTTTATATCATATATAATCTGGTGGCGCTCTCTTTCGAATAACTTCACAAAGCTATCAAAATATTATACTGTTTTATTTTACAGCCGCAGCAGGAGGCCAAGATGGACTATTACCGAATATAGTACTTTCGCTTTCCATCAGTTCGTTGTACTATCTTCTCTTTCATTGTCGACTGTTCAGTTGGGAGATGATGTTAAATTGATAGAAAGAAAGAGAATTGAAAGAGAAACAGATATAATTATATACTGAGAAAAAACAAGACTTTCATTGTTGGAATATTTGTGATCAGACTAAAAAATTTATATCTCCTTTTTTCGTTGTCTCTGTTTCTCTCAGACATTTGCAAAGCAGCAAACTAAGATTTTTTTAAAACTTTGGGATTTTTATTTTTTGCTTATCCTTAATTCTTTAGTATGTTTATTTCAGTCTCTTCTACACTATGAAAAAAATGAAGTATTCTTGCTACACTTTATTATAACTGCTATTTGTACTTGTATTCGATGAATCCTGCTTAATCAAATGATTAACCTATGCCATTTCAAGTCTATCAACTAAAGATTAACGGCTCTAAGCAATATTATTACAATGTTCTCTATCTTCCATACCATTCGAATGTCTTTTTCTCTACCTTCATTTTCACATTTTCAATCATTGTTTCTAATTTACATTCTTACCTAAGTCATCCGATGACGATCGAGGTAAAAGCCTAAAACTAGCTGTCTCCCTTATAAGGAAAAGCAAAAAATTACTATTGCAGGGAATGCACATCACCAATCATAAGAGAGCACAAAAACTAATGGAAACTAACGGTATGCGTTTTAGAAAACATGACAAACAAACACACACCACACACACATATTCACACTTGCTTTTACTGATTTTTCTTCTTATGACAATATGGATATATAAGAAGAAAGAATAGGAAAAAACAAAGTAATATTTTCTATTAAACAGAGTTGTAAATTCCTCTTTTATTCTTGAATTCTTGAGCGTCATGATATTTTGGTGAAATTTTTTGTTTTTTCTTGTTTTTTTTTAAAAAAAATTATATGATGTTATCATGTCGTTTACCTTCTTTTCATTTTGTTTTGAAGAATCGTTATCATTATCAAGTTTATGCGTGATATATCCATTATAAATGTTTTAAAATCACTTAAAAATATACTTTTCAAACCTATTCAATTTGTTTGAACAAAACTACCTTTTCTATAGGGAAGGGCTGATAATAATTCTAGGTTAACTTCATTTATTATATGAACGACAACAGCGCCACTATACCTTTAATATATTTATAGATTTGATAAGTTGGAAACTTAAATAGTTAGCTTAAGATTGTAACGAAATGATGTTAGAAGTTTTAATGCATAGAAGAACATTACTATTAATAGTTTTCATTAGTTGTTCCGCTTTTGTTATTGCCTTTGCGACTAATTCTTGGTTGTCTAAAAGTTATAAACTCGATAAAGACGAAGCAATTCTATACATTGGCTTATGGAATGAATGCATTTGTACACAATTTAATAATTTTGGACTGAGAAGCGAAGGTTTGTTCTTCATTATTAATGATATTTTACTAACTGTAAACACTTAAAAATAGATTGGTTTAAAACATCTCAGGCAATGGCCACATTAGCGCTTGTTGGATATATCGCTGCCTTTCTAATTGTAGTACTACAAGTTGTATTACCTCAAGAATGGTATATAACATATGCGTTAATTGGTTCAATTTTAGTAGCTTGTAAGTAAGCATACTATCAAAAAATGCAGTATATAGTTACAGTACTTTATTGTCAAAACTTGTTATATAATGCTTTTCTTCGGGATAAAGCCAAACACAACTTTCAATGATCTGGTGTGAATAGCTATGATATTTTTCATTGGCATTTTAAACATTTCCCGAAAAGCGTTTCTTACTTTGACAGTTAGTAATGATGACGCTATTCCTGTTAACCGTCACCAAAAGTATTGTAACTATATTTATACTGTATAAAGAGTATGTACAATTATTTACGATACGTTTTAATTATCAGCCATCTTCTCCCTTATAAGTCTAATTCTTATTGGTAAGAATGTTTCTAATGGTACTTACAGCCAATTTAGACCTCACTTCTCCTTCGGATTAGTTTGTATGACGATATTTTTTGCCTTACCAATCGTTATTCTTGCTTTCATGTTAAAGAAGAATAAATAAATCAGCTACATATACTTATACGAACATTCTTCTTTCTTGCTTTTCATACTTAATGGAAGAAATTTTGTAATAATATAGTTTCGTATTTTTATTTCAAGTTAAAAAATAGTTTTGAGTGCCTTTTTTATGAATGCAGTAAGACTCTTTTGGCCGGAACTCTTTCGATAATTCAAAACTCTAAATATTTAGTTACCTACAGCAGTCTAATTGAGTAGCCAAAAAAAAATAGCGCATTTAACAAAGTGTACTGTTCAGTCATGCCGAATAGCAATAATTTAACTAACTTTATTTCAAATAAAAGGCTAATTCCGATAAGTGTATTTGGAGCTGTTTTAATATTCGTATTAGGATTTGCGACGAATGGATGGGTAAGTATAAACTATAAGGTTTACGATATAGAAAGTTCTCTTCATATTGGTCTATGGAGCCAATGCCTTTGCGGAGATTTTCCGGATATGAAAATAAGAGACGAAGGTTTGTGATATGATTATTTCTATTACTTGACTGATCACAATTTGAACAGGATGGTTCAAAGCGACTCAAGCAATGGCTACTATGGCCCTTATTATCTATATAATATGCCTGGTTTCCTCTTTGCTATTGGTGATCCTGTCGTACGAACGATACCTTATTTTCGCAATTATTATTTCAATTTCCTTAGCTAGTAAGTATGCTCGTTCAGTTGATTTTACTCTTTGAAAAACTAATGAAATTTGATGTGAATTATTTGAAAATAATAGGTATATTTGCTATGATTAGTATCGTAATTCTTGGTGAGAATACTAAAGATGGTACATATAGGGCATTTGATCCCAACTTTTCATTTGGATTTGTTTGTGTGTCACTCATTGGAGCCATACCAGTACTTATTCTATCTGTGCTAACGTTAAAGAAACAATGAAATTTTTTGCATTTATACATTCAAGTAAATATAAATTAATAGACTTTATTCTTCCTCCCGCCCACGTCTCTCTCTCTTTCTCTCTCTCTCTCTCTCTTGTCTATTCGAATCTTCTCGCAGTAGAATTTGTTTCAAACAAGTCCTTCGTTTCAAAAGATTTCCTTCTCTAGAGGGAAGCAATTAAACAATAAAATTTGTTGGCTGGCGAGAACGCAGCAATAGTTTATGGAAGTAACCTTAAAAAGAAGGATAATCTACGTTTCTACCTATTAGTAATGTAAATACAGCTGTATAGATGTCTATCAGAGTTTCAATAGAGAATATTACTAACAATGGGGAAATTTTTTAAGTAATCCTTAAATTCGCATATTTTTAAACAAGAGCGCACTTCCTTCCTTTCTTTACACAAATGAAGAGAATTCATACACAAATATGACCATATGATTAATAAGAACATAGATAAAACATGCGTTGGACAAGCAAAAACTGAAAAAATTTCTTATCAAGAGAGCAAATATCGTTTAGATAGTGGCCATACGATTTAACATTTTTTTTCTTATCACTTTTCGATCGCGTGTGGATCAGCATAAAGGTTACAGCGTTGGAGAGAATCATTTAATCATTAACAGTCTTCTATAAATAACAATTCGAAAATGCCTGTTCAAGTAACACAACAAAGGAATGGTTCAAGTTTTACTCATAAAATTGATATTCGAGGTATGGCCGGAGGTATGCTTTTAGTATCTCTTCTTGCATGCGTTTTTAACGTCATTGGATTCGCTACGAGTGGATGGTCTGTTCGAAAGCTGTCTTCTGGATCCTATCACATTGGTCTTTGGGAGCAATGTGTTTGTGGAAGTAATCAGGACTATGGTGGCTCCGCATCGAAATGTGAGCAAATTTTTACAATTGAATTTTAATAGGAATATTATAAGTTTAAAATACGTAACAGCTTGGTTTAAGGCAACTCAAGCCATGACCACAATTGGATTAATATTTCTCATACTCGCGCTACTCGCCTCAGTATTCTACGTCTTCGTGCATATTTTTAACAAAAATGTCTGCCTAACTGCGGGTATTGTATCAGCCGCTTTAGGATGTAAGTATTGTTTCATTGTAACCAACTATATCTCATTCGGTAGATAATTGATCAATAATTGATATAAATAAATTTGTTTATTCATTCAGGTCTTTTCTGTCTCATTGGCCTCATTATTTTTGGCGTAAAAGAGAAAAATCACAATTGGTCATTCGCCTTTGTCTGTATTTCAGCCATCTTATCTCTATTTGGAACAATATTGATGGTGATTCTATTCAGAAAAGCAAGAGACTAACAAAACTCATCTATTCTTCTATCTTTTTTTTTATCGTTACTATTTTGTATCTCCAGCTCTACCATCGTCTCTGTTCAAGTACTCTTTACTCTCTCCTAGACTCTTACTTCAGATAGCATCATTCTAAAGAGTTAAACTTGTGTGTCATTACTGACATTGGTGAAATATATACAAATTTCTTTGAAAAACAAGCAATAATACTATGTATTTTAAGAAAATATGGCTAGTGTCATCGTATATTTTTATCCTTATCTTACTCATGCATTCTTTCTCAAAACTAGTACGTGACCTGAAAAGTTCAAGTACCAGGAAATAGTTTAAGCTTTACACTCTTACTATTTATTACATTCATCATTTTCAATTAAAATATGAATATATAAGTTATTTTTGCTAATTTTTTCAAATATTTCGTAATTGATTAACCTGTTAATCAATACAATAATTTTATTATTATTTGCATTATAGGCCTAAATATAGGCTTGTATATTGTATTTATTACTTTTAGGTTTTGTAACAATTCTATCAAGAATTATTCACTGTTTATCTAGTAAAGATAGTGTTTTCTCCTCCATTTCTTTAAAGATCGTACGAATGTCGTAATGGCTATGAATAAGAATCAATCAATTGATTAGTAATGAATATGTTTATTTTTTCTATCTATGATTTCGTGACTCTAAACTATGCTTATCTTTTCACACGAGTTGATGGGGCAGAGGCGCCATCTATCAACACATTTATTACCTCCATTAATATTGAAAGATAAAATCAACTAAAAAAGGTAAAGGAAATCAATCTTTGTTTATAGAAAAGTTGGGTTATTTCAGTAAAAAACAAACAAACAAACAAACAAATAGAAAGTACATTCGTGTTTTTCGCTCAAACATCAAACTTCAGCAATCATAAAATCGGATTTAATCCAGGCGCTCTTTGGACGTTCCTGGCGAGACGCCGAAATTAACTTATAACTTTTTCTGTCGGGAAGCTTTAGAATCTGTACGAATTCAAATAATAAAAAAACAATAATGTTAGATATTTTTAGTATTTTCTTTAAGTTATTCTTAAAAAAGAATAAACTAAGGAGAAAATTAGACAAATTAATTATTAATAAATAAATAAATAAATTTACAAACAAGTGAAACACTAAATGAATAAAAATAACTGAGATAAAGAAAAGCGATAAAAGATATATATAAATGGATGAGTGAGTGAGTGAGTAAGTAGTTGAGAGGGTGATTGAGTTTGTGCGTATGTGCATGTCTGCGTGCATGGGAAATGAGAAAAGCAGATGTTTAACCAGAATTTTTATGTTAATTGAAATGTAAAAAGAAGGAATGGAAAGAGAAAGAAGTAATGATGGCTAAACAATATAATTTGTTTATTAACAAACTCCAATAAAAGAAATAAATAAACATCGATTAATAAAATTAAAATAAATCTCAAGAAACAAAAGATTCACTCTGAATTTTTTATGTTTTTTTTTCCTTTAGTTAATTTCTTTTTCTTTCTAAAAGAAAAGTAATAAAAAGTAGAGAGAAAATTTAACTCTTTCTCTTTCTCTCTCTCTCTCTCTCTCTCTCTCTCTAATTCTAGAAAAAATAAAAGTATATTCTGTAGAAAATTTGATTTGTTTAAAATATTTTTCGTCATTTATCTCCTACGCTGAATTTTCTTCGTAGAGCTTGCAAACTTCTTCTCTGTCATAAGAAATAAACAAAACAAACATATTTTACTAAATATTTCAATATATTATATTCTTTCTTTGCTTATTTTCTCACGATGACAATAAAAGAAGAAAAATAACGAGAACGTGATTGAACACCATAAATCAATTAATCAATTACTTACCACAATTCCGTCCTCTTTTCCTGTTGTCGACGTACTTTTTACTTGAACGAAAGGTAACCTAGATTCGCTAGATGCTCTCATTGCTCTCTTCTTAGTTTCTGCCGAGGGTGGTGGAAGTGGATTTACAAGTCGTTTAGGCTCTTCGAATACTTCGTCGTTGGTGCTTTCGCTGTCATTCCTCCTTCGCATGCTAACTTTTCTTAATCTGGCGTATAGGTCACGCATGTCATTATCAGTCAATGGCTGTCCGATATGCTCTATACTGGGAGCTCTCTGAGGAGTTTGAGAAGGAGTAATGATCATATTTGGCGGCGGTCTGGGCAGGTGGGAACACGGCGAAGGATCCCTCGACGATATAGCCGATCTCGTTCCCGTTTGATGAACAGATGATCTAATGAGGACCATGGTAAAAAAGATAAAGTGGACCGTTCAAGCTTCATTGAACTAGCTGTTTAACAAAAAGAGGCTTTTCTTACCTTGTCAATGGAGGTCTTCTCTGCGAGAAAGGAACGTTTTGACCTAGGTCTGGAGCGGCCGTGTTTAATCTTCTCGGCTGTCGATCTCTGGATCGAGTTTCCCTGGGAGGTTGCGGTTCGGGTGGTGGCGGTCTCTTTGAAATATTTTCGGCCGAAACGTATACTTTACGAATATTATTGTCGTAAATCTTAGCTGACCCTTTTTCAACAACAGAATGTTGACGAAGCGATTTTAATGACGAAAACGAAACGTGTTGCTTCGTGGGTCTTTCCGGAGTCGATGATATAAATTCAGTCGATTCCGCTTTTCCGAAATTCTGTTTTATTTATGTTACATTTTTGATTTTAAAGAAAGGAAGAGCGAACGACTAAGTGTGTCAATGTATAAGTAAATAAGTGAGTAAACGAGCAAGTAAGTAAAAAAGAGAGAGAGGAGTGAATGATAACAGAGAACTCAGAATGCTCAACAAAAGAAAGAGTAAAGTGCTCAAACAAAACTAACGATATTGTTAATGCCTATAAACAATTGAATAAGTAAATTATTAATTAAGTAATTAAATAATTAAGTAATTAATTAGTGAAAATAAATAATCATATAAAGATATGTAAATATATCAATTATCAAGGAGGAGGAGTATAAATATAAATTAAATAAAGGAATAAACAAACCTTAACGAAAGCCGCCAATTGTTTCCTGCTATCATCTGTTATTTGCCTTTCGTATTTCAACGCTTCCATTTGCAGTCTAAATTGGTCTTTCCTCTCTTTTTCGTGTTCTTCCTTAATAACTGCTAATTCTTTTTCTAGTTGATCTATCCTCTCCTTAGCCTTCTTTTCGGTATCGTTCTTATGAGATTTCAGAACTGACGTATAATTAAACTTTCCTGTCGACTTTTCGCTTTGTAATTTTTTAAATTTGTCTTCTAATTCAATAGTTTTCTTTTTTTGAGTTTCCATCTCTCGACGAGTCTGGCACTCAAATTCGAATCGTTCCTTTCTTTCACAATTCAATTTTCTTCTAGCTTCTATTAACTCACTAGTTAATTGCATCATTTTCGAATCTCTGGCAATCTGTTGTTATCATTATTATTTTGTTAGTGTTTAGCATTACTTTATTTTCAATAGTTAAATTGACCTCTGTAAACCTTAATCTTTTTTTTTGATAAAGGAAACCGAGAAAACTTACCCGAAAAGCGTCCAAATTCTTTTGCTTTTGTAGCTCACCTTCGGTTGCTGTAGTTTTATCCTTTTCACATTTTAGACTCCTTTGAAGATCATCTATAACCTTTTCCAGTTCTCTTATCTTTTGTTCTAGTTCAGCAACGTTTTTATATAAATCCTTTATAGAGATATCTTTACTCTGTATATCATCCTCCTTTTCCTCAAGTTTCGAAATTAGACTCTGGTTTTGTGATGTTATCTCTGCTAATTGCTCTTTTAAGTCGACTCTTTGAAGTTCTTGCTGTTGAGATAATTTCTTTTGAACATTTAATTCGGCTTTAACAAGATCCAACTGTTCAAGAACTTGACTGTAGCGTTGCCATAATTCTTCTAGTCCTTTTTCCTTTTCGTCTACTAATTTTTGCTTTTCAATAAGAACACAATCCTTATCATTAACGGTCGAATGCAATTCGACGTTTTGTCTATTCATTTCTTCCAGATCCTTTCTCAATATTTCAATATCCGTTTCCATCTTTTGTTCTTTGGCTTTGTTATCGTGTTCCAATTTCAGTCTTAGTTGGCATTCATTATCGAATTTTTGCTGTAATTCTCCTAATTCTTCCTTTAGAGCTTGAGCATGAACCGCGAGACGATTTTGTGTTGATTGATTCGAATCGCCTCCGGCCGATTGCCATTTGACAAGTTGTCTTTGAAGATGTCTGTTTAATTGTTCACCTTTTTTCTTTTGTTCAACAAGCTGACGTTCTAATTCAGCCTTTTCCCATCTCCAAGTTGATGGTGCCGATCGCTTATTGTCAGGCTCTGTTTGCTTTGCAGAAATTTGATCCAATCGTCCTTTTAAAATATATATTTCGTCTCTAGATTGTTTCAACTCCTTTTGAGCGATATTTAACTATATTTGAAGAATTCAAAGAAAAATATATTGTATGAAAATTCAGATAAAATTATCTTATTTGTTTTCTTTAATTATCTTTTTATTTATTTATTATATATAATTTACCTCTTTCTTCAATACATCGTGTTCAACACCTCGTGAATCAGCGCCATCTATTGCCGAACTCTTTTCAGCGTCAACATACTTCTTTTTCAATCTCTCGTGTGCTAATAAACGCTCCAGACACTCAATCCTCTGCAAAAGTTGATTGTTCATAGAAGAGTCTAAACCGTTAGTTTGGCCTTCTAGACTACCAGTTCGTTCATTGGCTAATTGTAATAAGTTGCTAAGAAGAGCGCATTTATTTGTCATGTTTTCAACATCTCGTTTCATCTCAATTTCTCGGGCCGCAAAATTATCTCTAACATGCTCTAGATCTTGTCTAAAGTCATTCAATTCTTTCTCTAAACGATTTATCTCGTCTTCTCTTTCACCTATTACGTTTCTTAAAACTTGAATTTGGTCCACTTTTTCTCCCTTACCCGTTGATACTTCGTCCAGGGACTGACTCTTTAATAATAGGGGCCGACGGTGGTTTGTAATTTCATCTCTATCTTCCTGTAACCGTCCTATTTGAGTTTTTAGGTTGGCATTTTCCAATTTTAGCTCTGTTAGCATTTCTTGTAAATCCGATGGTTCCGGTTTATTTGATTTATTTATATCCGATCCCAAACCTAATCATTATAGAGTGAGAAAGGGGAGAGGAATGGAATTTGGGGAAAAGAGGGGAGGTTTAATTTTCATTATTTAATTCTTATCAATAATATTTACGGTATTTAATTAAAAATTTGTACAACCTTGTAATTGATTTGTTAATGACTGAATTTCTCTTTCAGCTTCTGCCAGCTTCTCTTTTAGAGTTCTTACTTCTTCTTGTACGTAGGAAAATTGCTCTCTTAAATCTTGCTCTCTTTCTTGACTAGCTGTCAGTTCTCGTCTTAAATTACTAACGTTTGTATCTCCTTGTACAAGACTTCGCACGTAATCCAACTCTCTTTCAACTCTTTCCAATTCTTGGTGAAGGGCGTCTCTTTGCGCTCCAGATTCTTCTAATTCGAATTTTAATTCAGAGATGATTTGTTCACTTCTCATTCGTTTCTCCTCAACGCATTCTAATTCATCGTGTAATCGAACAGAAACTTCTTTAGCAACTGTTAATTCTTCCTTTAATCTTTCACTTCTTTCATCTGAACTCAGAGAATAGCTCTCTGTGGCCTTTTCACTTTCCAGTTGTTCTACCTGTTTTTCATTTGCAGTTCATCATCATCATATTTCACCTTCACAACAAATACTGTAAACTATTCTTCAATTAAGATAAAATATTCATAAAATTTAAATAGCCTATTGTTTTCTATATTGTAATAATATATTTTGTAATTATAAATTTATAAAAGAGAAATAGACCTTTCGTTCGGCTTTTCGAAGTTTAAATTGTAAGACTCTTGAATGCTTAGCAGCTGCATCTAATTCTCTTCTTAATGCCCTAATTTCCATAACAGTTTCATCATCATCGTCCCGAAATTGGTCGTGAAGTTCATCCATCTCTAATTGTAATTCCCGTAGTTCTCTTCGCAGTTCATGATTCTCATCAATAATCGCTTTCATTTGTTCGTCTGGAAACCTTTCACTTTCTGGCATTGACAATCTTTCTGCGAGTTTGCTATTCTGTTCACCCAGCCTCTCTATCTGTGAAACGAAAGGTGAACCGTTTCAAATATGTTATATGGATATACTTTCATTAAAAGCTTTAGCTATATAAAAGTGTAAACCTAACGGACAAAGTTCATTAAAATCTTGTCGACAATAGACTTTTAAATGAGAACTATTCCTAAAACCTTTTTAGGATAATAGGGTCGATCATATTAGAATTTTATATATATTTTTCTGTATATATTCAGTATGTCAAGAAAACAAAAAATCCGACAACAGCAGGTGTGCTAGTATATCGTTTTAGTGTTGTGTTTTACATATAGAAAAATATATTATAGCTATAGCCGATAGTAACTGTGACGATGATAATAACAAAGAAGAAAAAGATGACATAGAATAGAGTTAAAAGGATTAGGAGATCTTTGGCAGGTGATAAGGGTTTATTTAGTATGCAGCATTCATTTTTACCAGACAAAATAAATCTGTTATTAAGCTGAAAGGTACGCGAACTACTTTTTATAATGTCTTCTACTTCTTCAAGTTTTACTTCAGTTTTTTAAGTTCATCTTCTTCTTATTAAAAAAAAATAAATGATAGCGATCATCATTCCTTTCATCTTGGTTTTCTATAAAAAAACTTTTTTTTTTCACCCACTAACCTAATGCACCTAACTCAACCCAGAAACACAGTTAGACAGAGAGAGAGAGAGAGAGAAAAAAAAGATACCTGTTGCCTGACAGTAGAGAGTTCTGTTTCATGGCATTTTTTCATTTCTATTTTCTCTTTTTCCAAATTCTCGCACTTTTCTTTTAAACTATCAGCAAGCATCCTAACTCCTTCGGCCATCGCTTCGGCTCTCTCAATTCTTCTCCTATTAACCTTCTCTTCATCTTTGTCTTTTAGAACTTGTTCACATTCTGGTTTAGCCTCGAGACTATCTGCTGACTGCGATAGTAGACTGGAATCGTCTAGGTGCGTCTCTCTTAAATCTGAAACATTGTTAGTGGCCGCGTTACAGTGCTCAAGCTCGCTACGAAAACAATTGCGGCAATATTCTTTCCTAAATAATTGGGCTACAAAAGCAGAGCAAGCCGCTACCTCCTTTTTGCCTCCCCGCTCCATATTGGCGGCGGCTAGACTTTTGCAGTCTGCCGGTGTATTTTTACTGCAGGAAATTCCTGGACACTTGCCAACATCTGCAATATCTATCGCAGGGCGTAAACTACGTCCGGAGAGATGAGTATAGGCCTAATCTGATTCTAATTTCGTACTACGAAACATTGATAAGGTTTAGGTGTCACGACTAAGATTTTTCTAGCCGGATAATAAAAAATAGCAATTCTAATTAGAAAAAACGATAAAAACTGAAATTTTGTACTTTAAGTTACAAGTTTTTGTTTTAATTTTAGATTTTAAGAAAGAGATAAATATTATAAATTCTTTATTATTAAAAATTTGGTGAAAATCTTGATTGTGTAACTATTATAAACATAACCACGCACCACTTTAGGCTAAGTAGATATTCTACTAGGTTTAATTTAAATATTGTTGGGTTACCTGGTCAATAATTAAACAATATTAAATTAACTATATGATTTTAGGATTGGGAACGGTAATACCAGTTTTTAATGTGTTATTCAAATAATTCTACTAGCGTCGAGGAAACTACAAAATCGACAACTGCGAAAACCACATGGAAATGTTTACATAAATACCAATTCACTTTGCAGAAATAACAAATATGTCGTCCTTTAAAGCAAACTATAGAAATTTGTTTAAAAAAACACTGTATAAAGAAACAATTACTGAATAAAGAAAAGGAGATAGAAGGAAATAGAAAACTTTCTACAACTACGTTAATTTACTTCTTACCCTCTTCTCTTTCCTCCGTCTAAACATACATTCTTTAACCTCAGTAAATATGAATAGTAAGATGTTCGGTCTATTATTTCTGACAGTAAGTCTATACTTTTTATTTGATTGAATAAGAATACAGGAATATTTATTTACCATCTGAAAAAAATATTGATAAAAAAATCTTTTTTCTTCAAAAATCATAACATTTTCTTTCTTTACTTTTCTCTATTATTTTTATTTATCTTATGTAACTCAACAAGTTTTTTCTTTTGTACTTTTATTTTGTAAAAGAACAGAATCAAAAGAACGATTTATACCAGTTTTTATTACCTGGTAAAACATTACTTGCGAACGTTTGTAATCATAAATGTTACATTGAATGCTAGAAAATATTCCCAAATTTATTACGTAAAGAAAATTTATAGGTAAAATCAGATTGATTTTGTTGTAAGATATTAAAATATTTAGACTATTACATATTCTTTGATTATGGAGTGCAGATATTTTAATAAAACAATATCAATCTATCGAAAATTTGAAATTTAACAACTTCATTTCTATCATTTGTTTTACAGGATAATATCAGAATTCTGAGCAAAGAAGCATCTCCTTAAAATAATATTATAATGTCATAACATTTGACGATTGAACAAGATAACTATTTGTGGATAAGTCAAGGTGCACTTCTTTGAGCGATAATATGGCATTCAGCGAATTACCAAGTTTAAAGAGCAAAAGTGAAATAGATGAAGCTATTATGAATACAAAAGATTTGGTTTTAGTATTAAGATTTGGTAAAGAAGACGACGGAGAATGTATGAAATTAGACCACGTGGTATAAATAATATTTTTCTTTTAACCCAGCGTATAATGTTGAAAGTGTTTAAATACCACACTAGTAAAACATGTTTATATATTTATATCATTATTCTCCTTCTTATTTTTTATATTCTTTTTTCCTTATCTAACAGCTTTCGAAAGCCGCCCCTTTGTTGACAAACATGGCAAGAATTTATCAGATTGACGTTAAATCGTCAGAAGTATACAATAATTACTTTGATATTAGCTACATTCCTGCTACAATCTTTTTTTTTAATGCTCAACATATACGAATTGATTGGGGGTTTGTAAGCTTTTTAAGTAATAAAACTTTGAAAACAACGTTTTCTTTGTTTTTTTCCATGCTTTCTTTTTATTTTGTTTTTTTTTACAGCACACCGGATCAGACAAAGTTAATAGGAAGTTTATCAAGTAAACAAGAAGTGATTGATGTCGTTGAAACAGTTTTCAGGGGTGCTATGAAAGGGAAAATGAACTTAACTAGTCCTTTAGACAGATCTACAGCCAACCATTACGATATGCTATACAATAACATATAATTGTTAGCAAGAAGAAGACATCAAGTGAAGTATATCCAGTTCTAAGTGAATGTTTAGAAACTCGTTTATTATATTGGCGTGTAAAATCATAAGTAATATACTATTTATTCATTATAAATAACTCGCAAGAATATTGAATAGAAATAAAACGTAGCAAAGAAAATGTTATGGAATTTTTTTTCTGCTGAATATAAATATATCTTTTCTCAAAAATGGTTATAGTTTTCTTTTGTAAAATTTAAGAAAACAATTGAAAATAAACAACAACGCCATCTACAAAAATTGTATTCTTTACTTTTGTCTCGTTATCGTCATGGATATATATACGGCTTAGAAAAGTGAGTTGCCTTCCCCATTTGTTTATTTTCTTATTTCAAAATAGATTTTAGTAATGATTTATTTGATCAAGATTTAGAATGCATTGTATAAGACTTATATTATCGCTTAAAAGTGATATTCTACAAGATATAAATTCGATTCATAGACAATATAAAAATATATGTTGTATAAATATTCATGTGACTTTGTGTCGTAAAAGTAAATTTATATACCTATACAATATATCAGCCTGTATCTCTATATAAATGTAATATTTGTAGGTACATACAGTACACACAATACTATATATACAATATATACAGTATATCCATATATGCTATATATATGATTAGCTATTTATAAATAGTTGTATATTTATGTATATAATATATTTATATATATATATATATATATATATATATATATATATATATATGTTTTTTATATAATTCGTAATTAAGTCAATCAACTTGTTTCGTAATACTTTCTATTCATTTAGCTAATATAATTTGATTTAAACACATAGCCACTCGAATTAAATAATAGAAAAGTGTATTCATACACACGCATACGCGTACATACACATACTGTATATATGTATACATTTACAAGTTAACGAGTAAAACTCTACATGTTCTTGCTCGTTGTCTAGGTCTTCGAATTAGGTCATTTTGCTTACTTTTTTGAACTCGAAAGAATAGACTTGATTCTTAAAAAATTCTTTTATTCGACAAATACGCTTAAAACAGTAATCAATTGGATAAAAGTCCTATTTCCTATTATTTTCAGTCAAGCTTGCTATCGTTTATATAAATAAAGCAAAGATCAACCAATTTATAACTTGAATATTACTTTTATTTTTTTAAAATAAAAATCTTGTAACTGTGAAAAAATAATCTATTTTTAATAATTGAATATATATTTTTTATCTATAATTAACATTTATAAAGACTACAATAGTTTTAATCTGTAAAAAAAGATAAATTGTATACAATTAGACAAAAATCTATTCTCATCGGTATTTTAAAAATAGTAAAACAGGTAGATTATTTATATAAAAAAAATAAGTGGAAAATTTTAAGTTTTATTGCTATAGATCTATAGTGAAAAAGAGAGAATTGAATATTTGGTTTATATTCTATTCCTGGTAAATGGTTTTATGTATTACATCTTTTGCTTTAAATATTTTAAAGTGCTTTATTTCGGAATATTTTAGTGCTCTTAACGATATTTAAATAAGTATAAACTTTATTATTATTATTATTATAAATTTTTATATAAATGATAAAAATATATTCTAGTAAAAACCAGAAAAAAAGTACTTTTATTTCTATTGTTTTTTCTCTTCGTATTGGTATTAATAAAGTGATAAGATAAGATTAGACATTAATAATACATCCTCTTAAATTTTTTGTTTTTTTTTTCAAGAAATTCAATTTCATTGTATTTTTTTTTACTTTTTCTAAAAGAGTATTGCTTTTATATATACTTTTTTCTTTGTTATTATCTTTTTGTAATTTATCTTCATGGCGTTAACCTACTTGAATTGTTCAGTCTTTGTTCAGAGAAAAAAAAGGCGCGTTTAAACATTCGCATTTATAGGCTGAGAGATGACAAGTGCCATAAGGGGCGATTTTCTAATCGACATTTGAAACGATACTAAATATATTTCAAGTAAAGAGAAACTAAAGGAAAAAAATTAAATTCCTTTTTCCGATAACAATAGAAGTTTTTACTGTTATGAATCAGAATAGAATGAGAGAGAGAGAGGTGGGGAGAGTGTAGTTCGTTAATTATTAAAAAGTGACGCCATGACATTTCACGAACCTTTTTGAAACGGAAAGTTCTGGGTGAGAGTTTGTCAGTGAAGGTGACCAGTTCTATTTTTTATATTGAACAGTTTTATCATCTTGTCTTTTTTACTTTGCATCTATTTTAGAATAGATTGAAAAGAAATACGAGTTTAAGAAGATAGATAGATAGAACAACAGATAGATAGATAGGCGGATGGATAGATAGAAAGGGAGAGTATGCAAAATGTAAGTTTGTGTGCCTGTGTCTATGTCTGTATATGTTTATAGAAGCTTGAGTAGGATAATAGATGTAGAATGAAATGAGCCAATACTGTCGGTGGAACGTTTATCCGTCTCTTTTTTTTTGTCTTTTTTATTTATGCTTTCAACAAAGTTGGAGAAGTTTTTCCGATTTTATTTATGAAAATCATATGGTTTTGATATTGGTAGAAACGGTATGATATATAAAATGTTCATATAAAACAAATATATACACACTCGAGCTGACCGTATGGTCAATAGCGGTCTAAAAACATTTCTTGAACAATTGTTCAATAGTTTATTCTAGCATTCAATCTAGTTCAAGCTTGTTGGTTGCTATGGTAATATACAAGTTGTAAAGGAGGCCAGACTTTGTTCGGGAAGGTTTTTATTGAATTTCGCTAGCTTTTATGCCCGTTGCCAAGCCGCTGTTCAATCTGTTCAATTTTTCAGTATTTCGGTAAGCTATTTCTCGTTTTTTCTTAAGCCTAACTTGGTTGCTCATTAGAGTATATAACTTATTGGCGTATTGCCAAAAAAAAAGTTTTGCGTGTATATGTCATTTTTGCATATACCAATTTGGACTATGACCTCCATCGTTATCGCTAGAGTTTTTTAACTCTCTTATCGTTGGTGCTGTCAAAAACCGTACATTCCAAATACGTCACGTGACCATAGCGACGTTTCCATAGCGACCGTGCAATTCAAACAGGCTTTTTTCACACAATACATACCAGGACCGAGAGAGCCGCCGCCTGTACACTCTTGCACATGGATTATCAAAAAAAGGTAGGCGTTTTGCTGTAAGTTTTTAGCTCTCCATCATTAAACTGATGACCAACTGTAAGAAAGCGTAAGAGTATAGGAATCTTACTTTATTTTTCAATGCCAAGTGGATCAGTTCATGTAATATATAGTAAATATATATATATATATATATATATATATACTGTATGAATATATAGAATATTGGTACGTAAGAGAATGAAGTTTATATATGTACAGTATATGTATTAATATTTATTTACAATATGTATTAAATTAGAAGAGATAAAAATAAATGCGAAAGAAAAAACACAACCTGTGCGCCACCCTTTTCCGCCCTCTTTCCCTACCTTTTTTCCAATTTGATTTCATCTTTTGAATGTTTTTGTAATTTGTTATTGTCGTTATTGTTTATTCATTTAATAAATTTTATAAAGATTATCTTTAATTGGTAAAATTAACAGTATCGAACCGCCTACGTAATAAACACGATAATAACGTTGTTTCGGGAAAAAAAACTCTGATAGCAAATTTTTGCTAAAGCTACTAAATTTCATCAATATTAACGCATAGGCTGACTAAATTAATATTTTTTTCGTTGTTCGTTCTCTAAGCCATTTTCTAATGTTGTTTTGAATCGGTTGATGCACCTCAAAAGGTAAGATAATTATTTATCCAAATGTCATATAAAGATAAAGTACATGTGGAAATGTAAGAATTTCGTTGATAATTTATTAATTAGTTGGCCTTAAACAAATTATTGGCATAGGAAAAAGGACAGGGACAAAGATAGACAAGGTAGGTGGGTGGGTGAGAGAGAGAGAGAAAGAAAAGAGGCAAAGAGATAGATAGAGAGGGAGTATAATTATATATACACTAGGAAATATACTAATACAACATATATATATATATATAGGGCATATATATTTGAACATGTATATGTACATGTGTTTGTCTTTGAACGCGTATGAATGCGAAAAGGAGGGTGGTAATGTTTAAGAGGGATTGGGGAGGGGAACAGGGCAAGTAAGGCGGGAACGCTTGAATCGAATGAGGCTAAGCGTTATAAACGAATGTTTGCGCTATTCCCCTTTCATCATGCTGTGGACCCCTATTGTATGGGTTTTTTGTTAATACTTATTTTTCCACCTGATATTTTTGGGCGGCTAGCGCCTTAATACTAAAATGTTTAAAATTTATTATTTGGTTATAATTCATAATAAAAAACGAATTAGTTTCTTTTATTAACATTTATTATGTAAAAAACTATAGGCTTTTATCAAACAATTATAAAAAATGTAAAGGTAAAAAATTAACCAAAATTAAAAGTCTTAAAGGTTTTATTAACTATTAAATGAGTTATTTCATTATGATTCTTCCCTTTGTAATGCATACTAATATAATCTTTTTTAAGTTAAAGTTATATACTTAAGGGAAACTTGACCATACAATATATTTATTCTTATTGTACGCTCTATAATGTCTTGATAATATTTTTAGCGTTCTTTTATAAAAAAGATTTCTAAATTAATCGGAAATCGATCATCTTATTCATTTAGAAAGATATAAGCCTAAGACTATTGTTATTACAGTAAAGAAAAAAGAAGAAAATTACCTATTCGCTCTTGAATTTTAAAAACGAATGAATTCTTTTTAACTTTGTATCATTTTATTTTTGTTTTTTGTTTTTACAGAAAATGACGTAATATTTTGGATAATTCGGCTGTTAAAACATTAACCACGTACAACTTTCAAATTATAAACATTGGATATAAGAAAAACATTGAATAAAGTGTTACATTTACAACTTTTTTTGTTTTGTTTGTTTGATTTAAAAAAAAAAAACACGGACTGAGAGAAAGAATTTGACAAAAAGAAACATTGCAAAATATGTCAAAAAACGGTCTAGATGCTATTTGTGCCAAATTGCAAAAGAACGCTGTTAAGAAGGAAGTTGAAAGGGATTATAATTTTAACGAAGCGCCTACTAAACAGGAAAAATCCGACAAGAAAAAGAATAGAAGAAAAACTACTGTTCCTAGGTGTTTAATACCTTCTCAGGATGATAACTATCGATTCCAACATAATGAAAATACTGATTATGACGATTCGGAGAGTTTAAGTGAATTCGGAGTAAATTCTGTCAAGGATTCCATAAATGACCTTGAAGTTTCGTCAGGTGAAAAGATGTCTGAAGGTGCTTCATCTCAGGACGAAAACGATAATGAACTACGTTTTGGAGCAGCTGGACAAGATTTTAAGGAAATGGCCGAGTTTACTGTTTCTGAATTCCTTAAAAAGTATGGATTTGCTGTAGACTCGTCTAGTTCAGCAGCAGCAGCTATGAATTTAAATAGGATAGAAGATCAAAAGACAATTAAGCAGCCAATTATGAAAATGGAAATAGATGACCAAGGTAGGTGAATTATATTTTTATACGGAAATATAAATTAGCTTTAAAATTAAAATTTCGCGTAAAAAAAGGGAACATTTAAACTATTCAGTTCTGTTTTTAAGAAACAAATGAAATACGGCAAATTACATTGAAAATTCATTATATTATTATTATTATTGTACAAGAAAAAAAAATCGAAGTTTATTGTTTATAGGGGTTTAGAAAATGTCTTACTATATAGCTATTTCATTAGAAAAGTTCCATGATATATATATATATACTGTATATACTGTATACTGTATACATTGTATAATATCATACATTTTATGGTCTAGGTCTTTTAATTGAAATTCGATAATTAATTGATTTGTTGGTATATTGTATAAAAATAATGGAAAGCCATCTATTGATCTGTACTGTTTATGTAACACTTGAATTTCGAATTCAATGTTGCTCTGTACATATTTCATTCTCTATGAATAAATAAGTAGGAACAAGTTAGCATCTGATTAAAGATAATAGATATAAATATATATATATAGTGTATATAGTATCTATATTTGGAACGGTTTTTATATTTCATATTCACTCTCTATACTTTGTCTAACAAAAAAACAGTATTAGCTTGTTAAAATCGTATGAAATACGCTGACACACACGCACACATACACATACATACATACACACACACACACACACACACACACACACACACACACACATGCTAATTTACTCATTATCTCTTATATATACGGAATAAATGTAAAAATGACAAAATTCCCTTTTTTGTTTTCTTTTTTAAAATATCTTTGTTTATCACTTATTCTATTTGTTTACCAACATTCTAATAATAATGGCTCCTTTACTGCAGATAATTTTTATTAAATTCTAATCTTTTTTCTCTCAGTAAAATCATACTTTTTTTATTTATTTATAACCTGAACAATGCTTTGAAAAATTATTATTTTACTTTTTTTGTTTTACTCTTTGCAGCATGAATCTATTTAGTGAAAATAATTTAGTTCATTCGTTCGTTCGTTCATTCTCTCATATAATCTCTAAATCACTCAATCACACACACACACACATGCACACAGACTGACATATATATTTATATATGAAAATACACTTTCTCCTGCTTTCATCATTCCTATCCTCTCTTCCTTTCTTTTCTCCCTATCTAACTTATACGTAACTTATTCATTCATTCATTTATTAATTCTGACTAATTAATAAGAAATTTAAAGCGCCAAACGCTTTTCATGTATTACGTAATAGCTCAGAGGGAAACTCTCCCAAGTTCGTTTCGATCGATTTTGCCAATATTTATAAAAGGTTGCCTCGATATCCCACGTGAACAATCAGTTGCCATGGAAACAACTTGTCATTGTGACAGCTGCATGCGAGATACAATTTGGTAGGATTTTCAAAATTACGAAATGCCGTTTCTGTATGTATCTATCAGAGGATGCTACTAGCAGCTGCAATATAGTGTATTAGATAGGCTACTAATTCCCAGCCATCTTTGTAAATAATATTTATAAATATACTTAAAATTATTTGACTACACATTGGTATGATATTATAAAAAGAGTGTATAAACGTTAGACAATGCACTGTACATATTGCTCTTCTTTATAGGGGAAAAAAATGATAAACACTTACGTAAGCTGAATGCAGTACTATTATTCTATTGTCTATTGTATTTCGAATTAATAGAGTATTATGCTTTAAAAAGTGGAAAATATATGATAAATAGTATACAGTATACGGATATAAGATGCATAGGGAATATAAATACGAAAATATAATAATTTTTCACTCCCTTCGCCTACCTATCAGGTTGATATATTAAAAAATAGGGGAAATGCATAGAGCGACGCAGTTCTCTCTCTTTTTTCTTTCAGTATAAATTGAACGTGTAATAAATCTCCAACAGGATTTAGTATACAGTGCACGAAATGTTTATGTGCAATATCTTACACATGCATGAATGCGTGCACACTCACCAATATATATATATACTGAATATACGCTGTATATCAAATAGTCGAGCAAAGTTGCGTATTATTTTATTTAACTGGTATATATTCGTTTCAAAGAGAAATGTTTATAGTCGAGTTTTAATCTTTATGCAGCTGTTTACCATTTTTGATTCGAGTTACAATTTGGAAATTTTTTATTGATTCTACCTATAAAAGCACGGCGCGGAAATATAGTAATAAGCGATTATGAATGGATCAATGAACGGCTAACGACAAACGGCCGCCAATCTGTTTCCATGGTTACCATGTACACAAGGCGGTTATTTAGTCGGCTGGAAAAGAGCTAGTTTTATTCCGACAAAGCTCTACAAATACACCATATAACTCTCTAATTCTATTAGATTTAACTATTATATATGTATAAAAATAATTTTTGAAAGCTTTCATCTAATTAGTATATCATCAGACTCTTCTTGAACGAGTTGCTCTCCTATTGTCTTGCTTCTTTGGGTGATTATTTCTACTATGATTTTGTATACTATAGCTGTGTATGCGGTGCATGCATATTTCAATATTCGAGCACAGAGAAGTATTCTTTTTTCTCTTTTTTTTTTGTTTTCTCTTTTCCTTTTTTCTTTTCTAGTTAGAACAAGAGTTTAGCCATTTCAGTATTAATAATAAAAACGGATGAACCGTCTCTCTTTAAGTACGGTTAACCGTTAATTAATTATGTGAAAGAAGGAAAAAAAATTAACAAAAAAAAGGAATACGTCTCTATGAGGAACATTGATAAATATATATGCACCGTATAGATCTGCTTATGGTATAATAAGAAGATATTTCTTCAATAATAAATATAAACAAAATGATATGATATTCTATTGAAATATATCCGAAAGAGTAAAAAACTGTGGCGTATCTATATATAATACATTTTTAAGATTTCATTTATTGATCATTTGTGCTTATGAAATATTAAAAAAGTCGGGAGTGAAGGAATTAAATGGTTGCTATGTTCTCAAACATTTATTTGTCGATTGTTCAATAGCCTGAATATTCAGTTGTTCGTCTTGGCAACGGGAAAATGTTTAGTAGATATTATCTAATAAAAATTTTCATCTTGGCATATATTAATATATGCAATTGGACTTGTACTTAAACATACATACAGTTTATGTACAGTATATATATATATATATATATAAAATATCTTATAGCTATGTATTTATCTGCGTACTTTTTCAATTTAATTTATTCAAATGTTCAAAACGTTGTCATGAAACGGTGTTCAATGGCCTTGAATTGTTTACTTGTTTCCTTTTATTCTAACAGTCTTTATTCCTATTGATCCTTAAACTAGATATCATCCTAATCGTTTCTCTCTTTCCTCCTTTTGTAGAATGGCAAAAGGACGACGATACGGAAAATTCCGGTTCTGAACGATCCAAGTCTCCTAACAGTTCGAGAGATCTTGATAATTATTTCAAGACAATTTATAGGCCTGAGGAAATTGAACAGAAAAATAGTTTAATGCCAGATTATAGTCGATACGTTACAAGATACGAATCGGGAAAATTATGCGGTCGTACCGAGTGTATTCCACTTAAAGAACATTTTCATTGTAATTCCTGCAAAGAAGAGGATGCTAATGAATTTAACGATGGTATCGAGAGTGGCGACTCTGCTGATCGAATATTTTTGAAGAAGGAAGAAATGATACGTCATTTTAAATGGCATAAGAAGAGAGATGAAATTCTCAACTTTGGTTTCCTTCGTTATTCTCCAGTCGACGATTGTACAAGACGATTTGAAAAATTGCAACCTTGCATTCATAAAGGTCGACAAACTCACTATCATTGCCTTCATCCCTCTTGTACTAAAGTTTACATTTCGACAAGTGACGTTCAGATGCATTCAAACTTTCATAGAAAAGATTCGGCTATTCTACAAGAGGGCTTTCAAAGATTTCGTGCTACAGAAGATTGTGGAATGCCCTCTTGCGCCTTTAAAGGTCATAGAACAACTCATTTCCATTGTCTCCGAGAAGGCTGCGGGTTCACATTTAAAAACAAGGCCGATATGGGTAAGTGCTATGAAAAATCTTATAACGTGCTATTATTTAGTATGCGAGAGAATAATTACTATTCGTATGTGGTCAATAATGAAAAATGTATAATATAGAAAGAAAAAAGGGAAATACAAATTTCCGCTTGTATAATATGTAATCCTAACCTAGAGAAAAAGAGATTAAGAGAAAGACAGGAGAGAGGTAAGAGATGATGAGGTAGTAAGATAGGTAGATGAGTAGAGAGAGATGTTGAAATAAAAACAAAGCTATAGCGAATAAACTTAACTGTATCTTTTTCTAAGTTTCCCAACAATATTCAGTATATACTGTATATACTGCATATTGCAGTCGTAATGTACAAATATATACATATATAATGTATATATACTCTTACGTTTATATCTATTAGGAGACTTTTAATAGAACTTCCTAAATTACCATTCCATATAATTGATTTATTTTAATTGAGTTAGATTTTGTTAATTAGTTCATTAATTGATTGGTTGATTTGTTAATTAATTAATTATAATTTTTTTACCCCACCATTATCACCATCGACATCGTCGTCATCTTTACAAACTACAGAAAAGCATAAGGTTTACCATCAAAAGGATGAAATTCTTTCGAGAGATGGATTCAAGAAATTTATGAAGTACGAAAATTGTGGATTCTCCGAGTGTAAATATTCAAAAGTAATAAACCACATTCATTGTATCCGTCCGGGTTGCGATTACATTCTTCACTCGACTGGCCAGCTATACTCTCACAAACGTAAACACGAACGAAATGAAGAAAAAACTGACGAAGAAGAACAATCTACCAATAATCCTTCGTCCAAACAGAATAATGAAACTACTTCACCACCACCACTACAGCCTCCAGCTCATCAACCATCTCAATCTCTCCTTTCAACCCTTCAAATGGGACTATTTCCTATGCTCAATATCGATAATAGCGATAAAAAACCAAACCTCTTAGCAAACTTAACGCTTCCTGTTCAAATTCCCAATCTCAATAGCATTAGCCCAAGCCATTTTCAACAACAACAGCATCCAAATAATACAGCCGGGATTAAGGGAATATCGGGAGAACAAATGACAAAAATATCGAAAAAGCTTATCTCTTCCAATGCCGGTTTAAATGATTCGCTAACCTTGCCAATTGATACGTTAAAAGACAGCAAAGGCGACTCAGATTTATCAATTAAAGCAGTTATTCCTAATATAAAGACAATACCCTCTATAAATGAAAAGAAGGAGAAGAATGAAAATTGGAAAAAGTATTTAGCAAGATATACGGCAAATGATAAATGTACATCAAGATGCGAATATTTATATAAAGACCATTATCATTGTTTAACTCCTTCTTGTGGTCAAATTTTTAGAAGTAAAGATGGCGTTAGGGAACATGCTAGGCTGCATGAAAATCAAGATGTTATTACTAGTATGATTTTTCAACATATTCTTCCTGGTTCTCCTTGTTCTTTTGAAGACTGTCAAGTTAACGAGGAGCATTATCATTGTCAACACGTAAGAGACCTTTTTTTCCTCATCCTATTTTTCCTTTCCCTACTAATGTACTTGTATTAATTTAGAATCGGTGTAATGAAATAGTCAAGTCAGCCGGCGATGTTTTTGCCCGATTGGATCATTATAGGATGCACGATGCTTCTTCATCTCGTTCAGGCCGTAGGAATACACTAAAAGAATCTTCCAATTCCCGTAGAAGGGGTAGACCCCCAAAATATCCAAAGAGCGAAATACCCCAAGTTCCCAGAGTTCCCACCAAATCCGATCTTCAGTGGCTGAATGACGCTAGAAATCCTGGTGTGGCTCCTTGGATTCGATCTGGCTTTGAGAAATTCGTGAAAGGGGGATCATCGTGTCCCGACTATAAATGTCCCTATCACAATATAGAACATTACCATTGCGTCAGAGAGAGATGCTTTACGGCTGTCGATAGATTTGACGTTTTAGATTTACATGCAAAGACTTTCCACGGTCAGGTCATTATTCAAGAAGGATTCGAGTATTTTGATAGATCAGTTGATTGTCGAAGAGCCCATTGCCCCAATAATAAGAACAATAAGCACTTTCATTGTACCAGATCAAAGTGCGATTATAGTTTTATTAGACCGGCTACAATGAGTCATCATAGTCAAAAGCATGAAATTCACGAGGCAATAGAGGCTAAGAAAGCTGTGATTTGCGAACAATTGCAATCGGCTGTTATTAACGTCGATAAAGATAATAAATTGGCCAGTGAAACACCAGCTAAGCATTCTTGGGAATCTTTAAAAGTTTCTATGCAATATACAAGCGATAGAGGTTGCGGTAAACCATTTTGTAAAATGAAGAGAAAACTACACTTTCATTGTTCATACTGTTCTCAGACGTATAGTGAAGAAGAGAAATTAAAAGTTCATGTGGTTGATAAACACAACGTGCCAATCAACGATAATACACAAACAACTATGGTTAAAAACAATAACAATAACAATTATCATACAAACAACAACGATAAGAACGCTTACAACAACAACAGCCATGTTAATAATTTTAGTAATAGTAATGATGCAGCTGCTAAAGTGGGCATTGCTACTAAGAGAAAGGCGAATAGTAGTAATAATAATAACAATAATAATAGCTATAACAATCACAACACCAACAGTAGCAACAATAATAATAACAACAACAACACCAGCCATAACGAAAATAAGACTTTGAAGTTCATTAAAGAAGAGATTAGCGAAGAGGCTTTGGATTTATCTATTGCCTCTAAAAGACCTAAGTTAGAGTTGCCTCCTAGTCAAAACCCCCTTATAGAAAAATTAGCCGAAAGGTCAAATTTAAAAGTAGAAAAGGATCAAGAAGTATCCGAAGGCGGTTTTATTAAATTTAAATTCTCGGACGACTGCAGTGTTGAGAAATGCAGCTATCGTCTCTCGGGATCGCATTATCACTGTTCAAAACCCGATTGCCTTTACTCGTTCACCGACAAGGGAAAGGGGGAACAACACTTGCTCAGGCACAAGAAAATTGATGAAGTTATTGGCTCCGACTTTAAGCTCATACGATCTCATCAAAGCTGTCCAGACGATGATTGTAACATATCTCAAGCTCATTATCATTGTATACGTTGCAATTTTAGTTGTACGGACAGAGGTAAAGTTGTTGCTCATAGAAATATTCATAAAGCAGTTGATGGATTTCAAGACGCGGGTTTCGTAAAAGTTAAAGCAGGAGATCCATGCGACGAACACGTAAAAGAAATAATCAAATGTACATATAGCGGTAAATGTATTCATTTTCATTGTTTAAAATGTACATTTATAACATTGAATAGTACGCAAATTCGTCAACACTTGGACAAAAGTAACCATTAGCATTTTCCATCGGTTCCTTTCTCTTGAATGATATTCTATATCATTTATTTCCACAAGTTTTAAGTTATTGGGTAATTTTGTATCTCGTATATTCTCATTTACTGTTCGTTTTTCTCTTTCTTCCTTCTCTTATTCCTCCTCCTCCTCCACTCATCCGTACTCTGACTGTTCCACTTCTTCATGTATCTTCTTCTTCCATCCATCCAAAAAGTGTTCATTTGTCAGTCTAAGAAAGCATAGAGAGTATTCCTTTTTTTAGCCAATTTTTAATATTATAAACATAATGTCTCCATAAGGACGAGGAAAAGGGTAGAAGTAATAAAAATTTAATGTTTTCCTATTAGAAAAGATAAAAGAAGAGAAAAAAAAATTGATTTGAAATAGAAATTTTTGCTTGGTTTAATTGTAAAAAAAGGAATATAAAAAATTTTTCCAAGGGAATATAAGGGTAATTAGTTAAAAAATCGTAAGCGTACCTGTTCTTTTATAAACGTACAAAATTAGAATATATACTTTCTATAACATAAAAAGTATATATGCAGTATATATGATGTAAATGTTTTGCAATATATATATATGTATATATGTTCGTATATATACTAATATATCTTATGTTGTACGATAAATGAAACAAGAGAAAAGTAAAAAAAATAAAGCACTTAAAAAACAAAGAAGAAATTATAAAAAAGATAAAAAGAATTCAATTATTCAAGTGTGCTTAAACAGTCTATTCTTTATATATATATAAAGAAAATTGTGAAATTCATGTATATACAGTATTTATCATATACAATGTGTATTTTGCATGTAATATATATGCAGTATATACTGTGTTGGCGCCTTATTTATTGGAAATGCTTTTTTTTTTCACTCTATATCATTTACAACTTTGTTTCTATTAAAGTAAAATGAAAGAAATGAAATTCGTTTAAAATATTCAAACAACGTCAGTTCCAGTCAAGTTGTTGAGTCTGTGAGTAAATACTTTCTCAAGAATGACCATTTGATAATCACTATATAAATTGCAGTTAATGCAATACTTTTTCTTCTGTTTACTGTATACTAAATATATTCTATGCATGTATTTAGTACATTTATATATACATTCAATTTATATTCTATTTGTTTGTTTGTTTTTTGGACTTTTGGAACAAAACAATTAAGAGAAAATTTTTGTTTATATTTGTTTGATGTAATAAATACGGCGTCTCTCTCTTTTGTGGATCAAATGCTTTGCTGTGATGCATTTCATTCTATCTATCTCCATATTTTTTCTGATGCTATGCAAACAATTCCAGTTTTTCTTCCTTATTACTGCTGTCGATACTTTTTATAGTTTCTATTGTGTTTTACCTGGATGTTAATAGATGATAAAAGTAAAAACAAAATGAAAAAGCTCATTTGCAATCGGCTGTGATGTGTGTGCAAGTTCATAATGATAATTTTTTTCCTTCCGGTTTATTATATACAGTATATGCATTATAGAGTAAAAAATAATTCCACTGTACCATACAGTGTATATTGATACTTGCTAACGTTTTCATTTACAGCATATAGCAACATATATATATACTTGTATATATCTGTTTATACACTGTTAACTTTCTCTCTCCCTGTCTCTCTCTTTCCATTGGAAAAGAAGAGAAGAACAGTGAGAACAGAAACGAAACTTAGAAAGTAATAATGATAACAGAAACATATTTTGTCATTTTTTTTTTCAAAGTTAAGATAAAATTTTTGTTAACAAGCTTTTCTTGTTTGTTTATTTGTTTGTTTTTCTCTATTTCTTTTCTTGAACCAATCAGCTTTTTTATTCATTTTATTAATAAATTATTATTGCAATTAATTTATTATTATTTCTTATTCTTCTGCTACTTGTAGTCTCCATATATACTGTACTTTTCTCTTTAGCAAACGCGAGTGCCACTTTCCTCATCAATGTTAAAATGAAATGGTGTTAGTGAAGAAGGATTGAAAGGAAAATAAGCGGGGCTATAAAAAACGGGTTAAAAAATAGATTCCCTTAAAGAATTATAGGTCTCTCTAGCTTAGCTATTTTACTCTCATTTCCCCTTATATATTATGGGCTTATTAAATCGAAAACGGCTCTCTTACTCCCTGAGGATATCGGTTGGGTTAGGTAGTAGGTAGGGGAAGGGGCAGTGAAAAGAACCATTTGAAGAGAGCCGAGTAGGGAAGATAACCACTAGTAGATGGAAAATAGAAGAGAATGAGTTTTATAAGTGGTAAAAAAAGAAACATGAAATAGTGTCAATTTGCTAGAAACGCAAATCTTATTTGTTTAGATATAATATAAACAAAAGAGGAAGAAAATTATAAATGACTGATTATTAAAGAGCGTTTCTTTGTGTTCAATTGAAAGAAGTACTTGAAGTATATCTCTTTGCAAAATCCATTTATTAATTGTTCATTTATGAATAGGTTGAAGGGAGAAGAATAGATTAAAAGATAAATTACAATACTTTTAATCTTTGATAGGATATTTTTAATTTTTTTCTCCTTTCCCCAATTTTCGTTTTCCTTCTCTTCTTCTTCCCCGTTTTTCTTCACTCTCACACTTTTCTTTCATAAAAACGACAACCGTAAAAAATCTTGCTAAAACGCTTTCTTTTTCGCACCGCAATATGTTCATTGCGGACACATCCATATATTAGCAGATCCCTTTATATAAATTGCAGTACAGAGTCTGCGATTGTATATTGTATATTAAGTACATAGTTTTATATTTAGATACAGCTTTTTTCATCTACTCTTCTTTACACCGATGCTTTTATTCTGTGTAGATGCTGTTCCAGTAGTAGTATCGGATCTCTTGCAGCAAACACCTGCAAATTTTTTACGGCTTGCTGCATAAAAAATATTTGATTTCGCATATTGCACTTTTTAAAACGATACTCTTTGCTCGTTTTCCTTCGGTGGAAAATGCTTTTAAAGATTTTCAGTTTACTTGTCAATCAAAAAAACGCTTTTTCATTCATAAACGTCCCCCTAGACATCTCACGACCGTCACCATCAACATCACCTTCATAAGCATCAATTCTTGCTAATGGTAAAGGATAGAACAAGATCTCTGCTAGTTGGAAAGATCTTATATACTATACCGTTCTCATAAAAACTTTGGATAATTAGTTTACTAGAAAGATTGGAAGAGAAAAACGAATATTGCCAGCGTTAAATTTATCAAACTTGAGTTAATTAGTCAATTAATTAACTAATTAATTAACTTATTAATCTATTAAGTCGTAAGGTAGTTGTTTTTCGTTTCTTTTTCTTTTCGCTCTTTCTCGTAATCATTCCAATCTTTTTCTTCGTCGTCTATTTAAAAGTAATTGAATAAAAGGTTTTTCTAATAAAACCTCATCATTCAAGTTGGTGATTTATATTGCTCTTCCGTGTTCCTTTTACCGTATTTTAATACCCATAATCTCTTTTTTGGATTGCATTATTTGCCTGCGTTAATGCGATTGAAAAATACAATTACCTACCTTTGTTAGTGCTGCCACCTATCGGAACAATCTATAAGGAATAAATCTGCTTTCCTCAAGGATCGAGTGCCTATATTCTTTAAATAAAGAATCCGTTTAGACCTGATCGAAACGTTTCAAGTTGTTCTGTATACACAGTATACTGTATATGTAATTTTTTTCGGTCTACTTTTATAGATTGCTAATGGGATTTTTTTTTTAGGCAAAATAATAAAATATTTGGGAAAAGGCGCCGGGGTGCGTGTATATTTTCAACATATTCTATAGAACTTTTTCGCCTCTCCCTCTCTCTCTCTCTAATCTATCTATATATATATATATATATTTGCTTTGTATAATATACCAATGATAACTCATAGCTTATTTTAACAAAGACTTTCATTTTTCAATTGAATGAACAGATTTTTCTATAGTTTTTATTATACAATAAAAAAAAAGAGAAAAATCACCACATTACTCATTTAGAGAGGAGAGTAATTATGTAATTTCAAACGATTAGACGTCTTAATCAATCGCTTTTATAACCGAGAAAAAAAGACAGCTGATAAAATATTAGACAAAATCAACCATCTGTTCATTTTTTAAGAGGCATCTTCAACGGAAATAGGTAAAGAGGTGAATATTGTGTAAGAGAGGAGATAGGGAAAAGATGGGGAGAGAGAGAGACTCCTGATTGTACGATAAAGGATAAAAGAGCTACGTGCTTTTATTAGGCTGTTTGTTTTATTCATTTGTCAAGACTAGCGCTTGATTCAGGTAAAAAAACAATCAATTATCCGGAATAAACTAATCACTACTATTTCGTATACATCCGATTTTCCTCATTAATTGTGAAAGAAAAGGAATAAAAAGTTGAAAATCTCGTCTGTTTCCCTATCAATTACCTGTAAATTCTATTCGAGAAAGGTAACATCTGCTCCCGCGAAACGGAATCAGTAGTTTCTACAACGTCCTAAACGCAGTTCGTGTCTTGAGGATAATGATAAATGTCAGATTGGACGTCTGTGTAAATGTCAGTAAGAATGAGAAATGATCTTCCTTTCTCTCTTATATAGCCATGCATAACGACCATTGCTCTTCTTCTTCTTCTTTTTCCTTTATTTATCGCCTTGCTTTTCACTGACCAACACCCAGCTCTTGTCGAATTCCATTTCTTTTTTTTTCCCAACTCCTTTCTTTGCTCTCCTCCTCTTTTTGACCTATGCAGCCCGTGACTTTGTCGTCAAGTCTTTCAATTCAATTGATTATCCGTTGTAGCGTCGAGTAAATCGAGTAGAAAGGAATGTTTATCTAAAAGAATCATTTTCCATTAACCCAAATTATAAATTAAGAAGAAAGAATAAAATGAGAGAAAATAAAGAAAACAATCAATAAGAAGATTGAAAAAGACAGGTGGATATTTTAAATAATTAAAAAGAAATGGGACGACAGTGAATAAATGAACAATATCGAGGGGGAAAAAATACTAACGGTGGTATAGGCAACAACTAGGCACTGGGAGAAGAGGGAAAGGGTGGAAGAGAGAAGGAAAAGTTGAAGGGGAACATTGATGAGAAGAAGGGAAGGAAAGGAAGGGAGAAAAGTGAAGGTAGGGGACTGGTAAAGAGATAAAAACAAAAATGAAAGAAAAATGGAAAAAAATGAGGGAGAAATTATGACAGCTCACGTATTTTACATTTGCAATTATTTTTGATAATTGATCAATTTATCAATGGAAGAATTCGCAAGGGTTCATTACGTATTAATGAAAATGTAAAAAAATAAAAACAAAGGCTATTAGATCGAGGCCATTCACTCGATGTTTTTATACAACACTTGTATACAAACTATATAACTATATATGCAGTTTTTATAAGACAGATTCTCTCTCTCTCTCTCTCTTACTTTTCTTCCTCTTCCAATTCCGCTAGTCTCGATCACCTTTCGGCTTTCTTCTAATTATAAAAGATAATGAAAAAATCAAGCAAGCGTTACTAGAATTGGCGGGAGGAAATCAATGATACATACTGATATTTTGATCACTGATGCAGAATATTACCACAGGCGCAATAAAATGGCGCCCAAATGTCTGCGGCATACGTAACATTCAAGAAGTATGTTGCAATGACAAGTTACCGCTCTGCCGCTTCTAGAAAATCCAGCGAAAAATTGAAAGCTATGGATATGGGTGGAGGGGAGTTTAGAGGTGTAAGTGGGAGGAGAAATGAAGAAAAAAAATGTTACCCTTATCGGCCCCAAGGCTGCCAATTGCGTGTAATAAACAGAAAAAAAAAGCCAGCGTCGTTAAGCAGCTTTGTGCTCTAATTGCCTAAAATTCAATGTCGTCACGCGCATAGCTTTGATTCTTAGCCTCTCCTAATTAAGTAATTCAAAAAAGTGCGCGAAACTAGGCTCGCGCATGCGTGTATGGGAAGTGAGTTATTAGAGATAAGGGTATCGTGTATGAGTAAAAAGGAAATGATGAACAAGCTAATAGAGGTTCATCTAGGCCTAGTTACGTTGGTGGTGGGCGGACCTCTAGTGATTCACTTTTGAGAAAGGACGACAGGGAGGGAGGGAGGAAGAAAGAGAGAGAGAGTGAGGAGGAGGACAAGAAAGAGAGACAGAGTGACTGACTGACTGACTGAATGAATGAATTAGTTAATTACTGAAAAATTATACAAAGGAAAATACATTGGAATGGCCAATCAGATAAGAGAATAGAAAAAAAAAACAAACTATAAAAACTATATAAGATAAAACATTTAGAACAGTTAGAATAAGACGCCAGAAGAAAGCTTAGAGAAAGAGGAAACAATAAAAATCTTATTGGTACTTGATGATTAAAGATTGAAGAGAGAATAACTTGCGCTTCGAACGCAGACAGTTTAGCTGCCATACAGATTTTTACTTTGACAAAGATAAAAGGCTACATTTCATACGCTATTTAATTGCCAATTCGAACGGCAGGCGCCAATTGGAAGAAATTCTGATATTTGTGCGCATGCGCCCTAACTGAAGCTCTTTCAAACGTCTGCCGGCGTTCGAAGATGAAATATCAATTCTACGCCTTTACGGCTTCTCTTCAATTCATTTTTTTCTCAAGTACCACAGATAAAACATTAGGTAATTTCATAAATTTTCCTTGCTTTTCTATTTAGCGATTTCCTAAATCTACAACTTTATTCAATTTTCTTCTCCGTTCCCTGCCTCGCTCCCTCTCCTCTACTTCCTATTCCCTTCTTTAACAAATATATTTTTTTAGCATGATTAACATTAGTTTGTTTCTTCTACCCTTTCTCTGTTTACGTCTCTGTTTCTGTCTCTCTCTCTCTCTCTCTCTCTCTCTCTCTCTCACACACACAACAAACCGTTCTATATGTCAACTGAAGAAAACAATGGAATAAATGAACTCTTCATACTCTCCAACATCTTCTGTGTATGTATGTAATTCGTTCGTAGAAGTAAAACATAGAGGCCCGTTAGAGATGGAAAATGGTGAGTAACGGAAGTGAAAGAGAACGCGTGGCGCAAAGGCCAAGTTTGACGGATAGTAAATTTAATCAGTTTTCATTGCAAAATCCCTGACCATTCAGAATTCATAAAATGAAAAGGAATAGAGGAGAATGATAAAAAATTACTAAAATAGGATATGATTATCTGTGTAAGATATTCTAATTCATTAAAATATATACACATAGAGGCGCCGATACATGCGTAGCAAGCTTATTCACTACTTAGTAAGATCTTGATAAAATAAAGTGTCTAAAGCGGCGTCTGAAGGATATTATTAATAAAAAGAAAAGGGTTATTTAATAAGGTAATATTGTTAATAAAGTTAAATCGTGACGGTTGATAATATATAAATAATTATTAGCACGGAATATGAAATATTTATATTTAATGGCCTATGATATAAAGTACATTATATATGTAATTTATATTTAACGTATATTCTATATGTACAATTTATAAGCTGTATATATTTAATTTAAATAAACCTATTTGATAAAATCGCATATGAGGATAATATTCCGATTTTTTCACTATATATTCTATCGAATCCTTTGTTCTATTTGTAAGCTTAAATGAGGGTACGAAATATTTTTGTTTCAAAAATTTTTTATTGATTTCTCTCTTGTTTTTTTCTTTTTTTTGTTGAGTTTTTTTTCTTTTCATTCATTTCAACTTTTTGCTTTTTATTTTTTTCCTTTTTCTCTCTTTTTTTTTTTTAAAAAAAAACTATAGAAAGAACAGTGGATAAAGTCTTTTTGTAGATAATAGGGATTAATTTGATGAGTCTAACCTATATCTAGAATGGGGCTTATGACAAGACATTCAAAATGAACGCTGTTGAGAATTTTTTCGTGTCGAGTACCTTTTATGACATCCTTTCCAATTTTAGACTTTGTCGTTATAAGATCCTCGACCTACATTTTAATAAATTTAATTACAACGAAAATACTATATACATTATACTTTAGCATTAGAAATTCTATAGAACAAAACCGGCATAAGCGAGTTCGCTCTCTCTCTCTCTCTCTCCCTCTGTCTTTTTGTCTACGTCTCTCTCATAGTTATCTATTCTCTGTAGGAATCTTTAGCTATATCCTGTGCTGCAGAATGTACTGTTTTCAAGTGTAAAGAGTATGATATATGCATTGAATATACGCAATTATGTAAGCTATTTATCCGCCACTTCTTTCTTTACTGTCTGCAATACTAAAGGATCTATCTACCCTACTTGTTTATATCTATATAAAGTATACTGAGTATACAGTATATCTTTCACTCTAAACTTATCTATCTTCTTTACGTACATCTCGTATTTTTGTTTTGGGTAGATATACAGAATCATTCATTCGTTCTTAAATTCATTCATTTATCCATTCATTCAACCATTAATTCCTTCTCCCTTCCATCCTCTCTTAATGTAAGCTCTATTTGTTTTCCTCTCCTTCTTTTCCATTTGAAATTTAATGCATCCCTGCTTCTATTTCTTCGAGTCAAGAAAGAACTCTACAATTTCTACTTGATTATGATGCAGCTATCTTCCCCTTTTTCCCCTCTAATTATCTACCTTTAGCCAATTTGCCAACGTAAGAAATGCCTTTGCAAAATATCATCAAAATGAATCCATCAGATGGTTGATATCGGGTAAAGAAGAGCATTTTCCGTAAAGCACGCTTCGTGAATTTTGTTTGCCTATTAGAGGCGATGAGAATGCAGCAAGTAATTAACAAATAAAGACTCAGTTGATTGCTAAGAAAAGAAGCTGGGGAATGTTTAAGAGTTTTATTGACATAAGGAGATAGCGTAGAATAAGGAAAGAGACAAAGAGAAATAGGGATGTGCTGAGAGGAAAAGAGAGAAAAGAGAGGAAGGAAAAATTTTGGAGAAATAATAAAGAGTTGGCTTCATTTATAGAATTAAGTAAAGCTAACAGGAGTAAAATAGAGGAAAGACTAATGTATATAGAGGGAATGTGGTCTGATTGCGAAAGGGAATGGCAGCGGGAGAGAGAGACAGAATAAGAGAGTGATAGCGAGAGAGAGAGAGAGATAGAGAGAGAATGCAAGAAAATAGAATAAAATCATACGTGTACGGACGTTTATAAAAAGTATAAGTTGATTATGATTCACACGACAAAGGGAAATTTGTTAGTAATATTTAATGTATAGCGAATTGCTAAGCCAGAATATATAGAAAGTATTTGATGCGATATAAATATAACCTGACTTCGTAGTAATTATGGATTAATTAAAAGATTAGTGACAAATTATTTTACGTGTACAAAAACATTTTGTATCTACTTCTATACTAACACGCCCATTTTTAATTGAAAGAAAACACCCGTCTCTATGATTAGAACTGATTTGAGACTTGCATGAATTTGCTCAGTCCACCCATTAAGCAATTCCCCAGCTGGAGACAGATGCTTCGTTCTCAGGACGATTATCGAATATGTAAATTAGAACTGACCGATTCGCGACACGAAAATCGTTTCTATTTAAAGAGAAGTCGAACAAAAGAGCATTAATTCGACCGCAGCACCCCTTTTTCCTCCCAATAGATACCGATAGCTGTCTAAATAAACAAATCCCTAGCAGCCGGCTCAAAGATTCGTTTGCACTTTTTTTTCCTCTTTTTTTCTCTCTCTCACTCTGTTTCGCTCTTCTTCCCCTTTTGTTTCTCATCCATTCTATTCTTCGAACCTTTTTTTTCTTATTTTAGTTTGTCGTATATTATTTCTATAATATTTCGGTCTCTTTAACAGCTGAATACGTTTGTCCCGGAAAGGAATTCTCTCCGAAATGTAAATCCTCCACCCGGAGTGATTCGGCTAACAAGGAATACGTGTTAATTAGATCAGCTATATATGGTCAGCTATACAACTCGGAATGTCCTCAGATGGACGACATTGAAATAGACGACGTCTGCACTGCCAATGTCCTACCAAAACTCGATTTGCTTTGCTCCGGTCAGGAAACGTGCCAAGTGAACGTTCCCGATGAGAGCCTCGACTCTTCTAAGCCGTGCACCAATATGAGGTTAAGGATGGCTTTAGGAGTGGATTACGAATGCATAAGCGGTCAGTAGGAGGGCGGTTGCCGCATTTATCGATCGCTAATCAGCCTTTAAAACTATTACAAATCATTACAGCCGCGACTTGCTCTTTCAACGGCGAAACTCAGTTGTTGCAGGTTTCCAGTCCTGGTTATATTCTCGCCTCCCTTACCCACGGTTTCCGGTACCCTTGCACATTTCGGCTGAAAACTCGTGAGGGTTATAATCTACATTTGCGCTTGATTGATCTGGCGACCGATAAATTCAATTATACGCGCTCCAAAAATTGCATTAGATATGCTCATGTCCGAGACGGTTCCCTCGAAAAGGAAATTTGCGGAGGTTCCAATAGGACGTCCGAACTTTGGAGAAGTCGGTGGAATACAGTTGATATACTTATCGCTGATCAAATAACTCCTCCTAGCAAACAAAACAGCCGATTCCTCATCTACTACGAGCGTAAGTTTTTTAGTTCTCTTCCCTTCCTCCGTTCCCGTACAACCGGCTTTTAGGCAGCGCCATCTCTTGTCTATTTTATTTTGTTTAACTGTGACTCTGAACCGTTAACACCGTAGTACAGAATTCTTCCATTTCCAGCTCGCCGATCATGTCCAGAAGTAAAAGCTCCATCTGGTGGCTGGTTAAAAAAATTGTCTACAAATTTAGCGTTAGGTTGTAATGATTCAACAGAAGCTAGATGGAGCTTAAGATGCGAAAACAGCATATGGGTAGGACCAAAAGCGGAAGAGAGAGCTTGCCCTGAAACTGCTGGGTCAAAAAGTGAATTAGGAGGGATCCCACATGGTTTGTAGTTGTTGTAAAAACGTTTAAATGAGAAGGAAAGAGAGAGAGAGAGATAAAAAACAGATTGCACAAAAGATATAGTCAGTTGGAAAAGAGAAAATAGGAATATTTATATTAATAATACTACAAAACTGACAAGAGTAATAATTGAAATGCTAATTTATGTAAATTTAAAGAGAGTCCATTTGATTAAGATACCACATTTACTTTTTCAGGTGTTTTAATAGCTTTAATAATAGCGGCGTCTCTTATTTTGGGTGTGATAATTCTAGTTGTTGGTCTAGTCTATTTAGAGTGGTAAGTTAATTAGAAAGAGGGTCATGAACTCTTACTATTAATAACTAAATTACGATCAAATTATTAGGCAAAAGGGTAAAAGGTTGAAAAAAGAAGCTTTAGCGTGGATATCTTCAGAATCCAAATGCAAACAGCATACATTACCTCCAATTCCAACTTTACGTAAAGAGGAGCATACATATTCAGATATCTCAGACTGCAATATTCATCCTCAACATCCAAATCAACAACCTTATTGCCCTCAGCATTACTTCCAATTGCATTCGGGCTTGAAAAAGGACGATGGCACTTTGGGCGAAAGAATATAATAAAAATAAACAAACAAACAAACTGGACTTCAATTTTTGTACATAAATTAAAAATGTTATACAAGAAGAATATGAGGAATTTCTTTCTAAATTCATAAACAAAATAATCATTTAATCTCTCTCCTTTTCTACAATACATATGATGATTTAAAGCGTCGATATATAGACGCTACCAGAATGAGAAGCATCATAGGCGTCTTTTTTTAAATTATTGATATATATGTACAAATAAATACTTTTTTCGTTTCGTTTGTGTTTTAATACTGTACTTTTCTTCTTTTTTTGTCAAAAAATGACATAAAGCATTGACGATTAAAATAAATATGAATATATGATCTTTCTCCCTCTCTTCGTCTCTTTATACTGTTTGTTATATATAAATACGAAGACTCTATCTTTCTCAATTTAACCCAAATATTCTCCCTTGATAAGATGTTATTAATTGATTCAAGTTTGCTCATTTTGGCTGATTGTAGGTAAAAAACTCCAGTAAATTATTAATTTATTATTTATTCTCACTTTTCTTCCCTAAACCTTCGCTAAGTTCCTTTTTCAATGCAATAATGCTTTCCTCATTTATCTTTAAGGTCGGTGAAGATAGAAAAAGGTATGAAAAGGGACTTAAAAGACCTGTGAACCAGAAACTAAAAGAGCGGCTAGCACTATAAAGTTGATATTTAGTGTAATTTATCAATGAGAGTTTTAATCATAATTAACAACTAAACAATCGATAAATAATAAATGATAAAACGTTCTTTACGTCTAACCAATCATTTATCATTGACTTATTCGAGCCTATCTAGTATTAATTAATCTTTAGACGTTTCGAATTAATTAAGCTTGCTTGAGTTTCAGCTAAATTTCATCTACAATTAATCTTCAAAAATCTTCTTGTTCTTACGAATTGTTTTAATCAACAAACAATGAGTGGTAGATGAGAGTTAATTAAGCGAATAGAGAGGATAGAAAGAGTAGGAAGAAAGGAATGAGAAAGATTAAAATCAAGAGAGTAAAAAAGAACGCAGAGAGAGACGACGGGTGGTGGGTGGTATCTACGAATATATGTTAGTGTATGGTATAGATTAGTTATTGTTCAACATATACTTTCTTTTAGAGAGGAGAATGAGATGAGAAAGAGGTTTAACAATAAATGTAATAAAAAAATAAGAAGAACAGATATTAATCCGTCAGGATACTACAAGAAATAGTATTTCGGTGATTTTCCTACGTAAATAGATATAATCATTGTTTTCATTCACAATTGCTTTATGGCAAAAGTCATTAAATTGTGCAATAAACAAAAGTCCACGACCTCTATAAAAGACGCCATATCAAATTTTCTTGATGAACTCTTAGAAGGGGAAAGACGACGACCAAATGCAGAATTTACATCCTTTATATTTATGGAGTATACATTTTCATTAAAAATCGTTGACAAACACCGGATGAGTTTGATTTAAACGTTTGTCGTCTTCTTTGGAAAGACAGATTAGAGACATACTATAATTACTTCTTTATGTTATATATATGTTTGAATGATTTTTCAGTGCTCATCACTTTTATCTATAATAGAGTGTAACAACTGGGTCAGGTATTTCTTCGAGTAGTTGTTTATAGAATTGTTAATAGGTTGTAACAAGAGAGAGGGAAACGAAAGAAGAAATAAAATAGCATTTTAATTTGTTATATAGCCACAGATCTTATCTTTTATATATGAAATCAAAGAGCGTTTAATTGATATAGCCTAACTTAATAACTCATATCCAAAGTATTAATCTATTTATTTATACAAGCAAAATTTACATTTAAAAACTCTCCTTTAGATCATTGTATAGCTATCTCTCTCTCTTTCTCTCTCTTTTACGTCACTCCATTCTATTCAAGTTTATGCGCTATATCTAGTCTTTCATTTCCTATAAAATATCTTTCCTTGCACTTATGACGCTTAGTTTTTTACTTAAAAAGAAAAGAGAAGGGAAAAAGCCATAAAAAGAGCTTAACGTTTGTCATAAGTGGAAAAAGAGTCCATCCAATTACTTCCCTAATTTCTAAAGAGCTATAAACTGAACAGACAAATAACTAGCATTCACTTATATATATACATAACACTTGTTGAGTCTTTCATTAATTGAAAGAAAGGGAATTAGTTGGGAAAATACGAAAAAAAAAAGTACCAGAAAAATGACAACACTCTTTAAACTGTATAAAAAAGAAAGAAGGAAGTTTAGATTAATGTAGAAAGGATTTGAAACCTTTCATTATTTGACATTTCACCATATGAAGACCATCGAGCAAAAATGGTGTTTTTTTTTTTTTAGTCTTTTATTTATTCTTCTTTTCCTTTGTCTTTCGTTCTAAATCTTTGTCATGAATAATTTTCATTGTTTCATTTATCAACCGCAATAGTATATTGCACTTGCTACATATATATACACGAGAGCTTCATTCTACTCTTGCTGCTGATTATCCAGTCGTATAAATTGTAGTTCTCTCCCTCTTGTCTTTCGCTTTGCCCCATTCTCTCTTCCTTTTCTTTCCGCGTGTATTCCTCCTCCATTGTCTTTTTTTAAAGATTACAAAAGCGAAAAATATCTCTTAATTGCAGAATAAGTACAATCTCAAAACTAGAAAAAAATATCTTCTATCCCGTCTATCTCCGCTACCACCATCATCACAGCCGTAACCATCACCCAAATACTTACATTACTACTGCCAATAACCTAAAATCCTGGTAATTATCGAGTTTTTGCACTGGTATTGCCCGTACGGTTTATGCTACGAAGCGTATGGAAAGAGAATCAACAACGACAGTAAGAGTAACGGGAAACGACGCAAGTAAAGACATTTTTGTTTTTCGGCTGATGATGTTATATTTTCCCATCTCCTAAAAACATTAATGATAAATAGAGAGTTTAGTGTAATTTTTCTCCTATCGGAAATGCCGACAGGAGAGGTTTAGATGATTTTTTTTTGGATCTAAGGAAAAAAAACAACCTGTAAAAATGGAGGAAAGAGTAGAGGAAAGCTAGACACTGTAACCGTTCTACGAGAAAGGTCAAATTAACAAAGAAAGGCATAGTACCGGAATAGCTTGTTGTATAGTTAGGAAGAAGGAGAATAGACATTTCGAGATATTCTAGCCCTCTTGTAGGAAACTTTAGAACCAGCAGGAGCGCTGTTTGGCGATTGGTGCGTTGAGCAGACACAGTTTAGAAATTGTCGTAGATACAGACAGTTATGAATAAAACGTCGCCTTTTTCCGATACAAGATATGATGAAATTAACAACTTGTTAAAAAATATTATAATACCTTCTTTGGGAGTTTTTGGAATCATTGGAAACTTGGTTAATCTTCGAATTATGAGACTAGATTCAAAACAGCATCGCTACAGCGAAAGGTGCTCGATTTTCGGTATGTCGGCCCTGGCTATTAGTGATATAATGTTTTCGATTGGTACTCTGCCAATGTTTTATCTACAAGATTTTTCACTAGCACTATCGACATATCAAACTTTCTATTTAGAAGTTTGGATAAAGACGTCGACTTGGTATACATTTCTTATATCATTCATGAGATATCTGGCAATTTGCCATCCTCTAAAGTATGAACGGATAGTATTTACATGGCTAATGCCTAGACTGACTTAACTTTATTAAATATAAATAGGAATTTAGGTAAGCTAATGCAAATTGGCAAAGAGAGAATAAAGTTTAGTTTAAATTAAATATTAACTTTTTAGCACTCAAACTCAAAGATTAGAAATCGAAAACATCGATAGTTCTTTTGAATGATGATCTAGTAGAGGGAAAGATGGATGAAAGAAGTAGGAAACAATTTTAAAACGTGTAAGATACCCTGTGGGAGGAGAAAGAAGGGGGAAAATTAATAGATAATTAAAAGTAATGCTTTATCCGTTGATACTTTAAAAAAAACTTCTTTTCGGGATCAGATCACCGTATTGGGTGACAAGACGTAAAGTGTCAATTACTGTTGTTCTTATACCGATTATATGGAGTATGCTTTTATTGCCTATAGTCGTATGTCATAACATGGAAGAAAACTCAAAAATTCTCTTCGCTTGCACAATCATCTGGGCTATTATAGGCTATTTTTTGCCTGTGTCCTTGCTGATTTTCTTCAATATGAAATTAATAAGAGCAATAAGGAAAAGCGAAATTTTTAGACGAGTACACACGGCGCCCTCCAGAAATGGAAGAAATGGAGAGGAAAAGAAAAATGCTTTAAATCTTACTCTAATCTTCCTCGTAGTTATGTATATATTTTTAGTTTCTCCATCAGAAATTTTTCATTTTTGTATAGACTCAGGTATTTCGAATCTTCAAGTGTCTCAAACGCTCTCCTTATTATTGAATTTACTTCAGACTATCAATTTTAGTTGTACATTTCTACTCTATGTGTCAGTTAATTCGAGTTTTCGGAGAAGCCTCTCAAAATGTATTGATTCTTGCCATTCAAATAGGAGTGAAAGTCTTAGTGGAAGTTCCAACGTCAAAATGAAAATTCTGACAGTTAAAAAAGCTTCCGGTAATAAATACAGCTACACCTGGAGCACGGTTGTTGATACAGCTCTATAGACAAAATAACAATCAAATCTGTTTTATTTTTCGCAAGCTTTGCCTATTCTAATTAATTAACCTCCGCCTTTAATGTTCTTATTCTTCGTCTCATTCATACTATCATTGTTACTATAACAACATTTCTTATTAATAGTCTAATCCTTATCCATATATATGCTTGATATGTTGAAATTCGCTTTTCTTTCCTCATATGATTGTTACATTACCCCTCTCCTCTTCCTCCTCTCTATCCCAATTTTCGGCCTCGCCCCTTCTCCACCGTTACTCTTTTGTTCCTTTTCCTCGTTACCTTTGCGAAATATACTTATTAAAATGTTTGATTTAATCCTATTATCTTCCTCATGTGGCCCTCCCTCCTTCCTCCCGTCGCTAATCCGTCACTTGCACCCAGTGTACCAATTCTGTATTTCTGGACAGAATCCTTGAAATTTTCTCTTTATTATTTTTAACGGAAGAAACAGAAAACAGGAAAGAAGGAAGAAGACATAAAAGTAAAGATGACTTAATTGTTTTATAGTATTTATTTATATTATAATCTGAATAAATACTGTATAAAATAGAAGCTATAAAATTATATATGATGAATATTCTAAAACCAAGATATTTTTTAATTTTGTTTGAAAAATATTATTAAATATTTATTCCTGTCATGAAATGGCGAAGAGTGTTTTAATTATTCATTTCTCAGAATAACCTGGAAAATTGCTGATCAAAATAATTTTCCAGTTTTCTGGTTAAATACG